TTTGATAAGAGACAGTGCGGCCTTCCTAAGCGCGGGTCCTAGAGCGGTCCTCAAGCTTCTCAGTTATGACGGTCTAATGATCGATTCCGAGTTGGACATATTTTATGCCGCCGTGTGCTGGTGCCACGCCAATCCACACGCAGCATCTTTGCCATTGGGCGACGAAATTATGTCGACAGGTACGTTACATTATTTCACTGATATAAAAATCTTTCAAAATTTTTTTTTGAATTTTAATAATATAGTCAGATGGGTATACTTGCCCTCCAGCATCATCCAAAGCTGTTTGTACGGACAATTCGGTGTGCTAATTAAACCAACCTCAAAGTCAACTATCGAATTCTGGCTCTGGTATTTATATTATATATGAAGCATTTTATATGTGTTAACTATACTAGGGTTGTTAAACGGATAGGATTCAAGCCGGTTTTTAAAAACGGCTGACTCAATATTTTATCCAGAATAATTATTAGGCGAGCCTGAAGATTTTGCTCAGAGATGGCACAAAAGGTCTAAGAGACATCAATTAGTAAAATCTAGAGGCCTAGGCAATATTTTTTCCGGCTAAAATATCGAGTTAGCCGAGCCGTTTAACGACACTATATAACTATTCTAAACTTTAATTCGTCAACAAAAATATAATAATTTCAAGGTACCGTATGATGTACGAAAAAGGTTACTCTCAATCATTATCTCAATATAGCGTGCCATCTCAAAGAAGTTATAATCCCAATCCCAGTATAGAAGTAAAGATGAATGGATAATTTTCTTTCTTTCTTTCTTTCTTTTTCAAAAAAACTTTAAGTTTTCTTATAACGTTAGTGTCGTTAAAATGCCCGGTTCGTGTCGATTTTTAATAACCGGCCGGATTAAGATTTTAGATCCTCAAGATTTAGCGAATAGATGTCCAAACTCTTTTTGCCAACTATGAGAAAAAAAATCTCTGGGCTTACATAATATTATTTTAGTTATAACCTTAACCGGACCGGTTTTAAAAATCGACCGAATCAACACTATAATAGCCGTTATAACTCTTTTAATAATACTAAGCAAATAAGAAAGAAGGCACTAATGACACTTATTAACTTACATAAACCACATACATATATATATATATGATTCTGATATAATTAGGTATTAGATCGCTTGAATAAGAAACTAGAGGTTCTGGATCGGCATTTATCTCCCCATCACACCGTACTCCCTATCAGGTTATTTATAATCGACCTTTATTTCTTCTAAATAATACTTTTTTATAACAGGTCTCAAATAATGAAATTCAGCGACGAAGACTTGACAAGTTTAGATTTATTTAAGATATAAAACTATTTTTAAAATCCTTATTATTATTCTTAGAAGAAAAATGTTCTGTATGCGATAGCGAATTACTTGAGGGCCATTGCGAAAGATGCATAGTTAGAAAAGTTCCAGGGTTCAAGGTTTTAAATTTAATAAAAATTTTGCATTACCAGTTACTAATAATATGGCAATATTTTTATATAATTTATATATCTAAAATTAAATTTCAAAAACTTTCATAACTTTAACGAAAAAAATTATATATTAAGCCATTTTTAAATATAAAAACTTTGGTAATAAATGATTTAATTACTTTTTTGCTAAAAATCTTTTCCTTTAAACAAAGGCTTTATGGGTCAAATATCAGAGTAAAAAAATATAGCCAATATGATATGATATAATATAATATATAATATATGAATATAAAATTTTTTTTAATGATTGTTTGTTAAATATTAAATTCACACAAAGGAACGATTATCCATGATAGGCAGGAGAGTCAGTCATATCAAAAAAAGCATTTTAGAGAGAAGCGACACCTGTCTAGATTGTCATGTGAGTAAGAGGAGATGTAGTTGCAAGAGCGAACCCAAGAAACGACATTCAACAATCAAAATTCACAAGGAGACGAAAGGGGAAAGGCACGATGACAAGATCGCCCATCACATTAAACCTCTCCATCATGTAAATATTTGTGTTGGATGGATATTTTTTTTAGATTGCACTCTATATTGTTCGGTTAATGATGGATAACTGTCAAGTTAAGGTAATAGCTATTTTCTAAGAAAACAACCTAATTTGCTAGATACCGACCATAATTTAATGAGAGACCACCTTACTATTATTATAACATATGATAAAGGAATCACGTGATTCGGTTCGATCTTCCATAGAATCGATCGCCAAGTTGGATCATCATCGGATTGGCAAGCGACGCTTCTTGCCGACCAATCCCCAGACGTTTTCCCATAAAATCATTTCATAAATATATATTATCAGTGTTGCTAAATGGCCCGATTTATTAAAAACTGTTTAATCCAATATTTTAGCCCATAAAAATAAGATTGAAAAATTTTTTCTACTAGATATCCAAGCATTTCTATCTTCTACGAGCAAAATCTCTAAGTCTTTGCCTAATATTCTTGAGCTAAAATATTCTGATAGCCTTCTTTTTTTTTTAGAAAATTGAGCCGTTTTTATCACGTGGTCGAGTCCGATCTTCTATCTTTATATTCACCCCCTGCCCTCCAGAACGGAACCAATAAGTTGGGTTAAGAAAAAAATATATGATTTTTTGCTGGGATTCAACCATAGGAATGGCGCGAATTCCCGGCTCATTTTCTTATAAATCTATTAAAAAATATTATAAATAAATTTTGGCAGTATCCCTAAACGAAATACATAATTTGTATCTTTCCTTAAAAGTAAAAAAAAAAATGGTCCCCCCATGATTTAAAAAATATGATTCGAGTTTTATCTTCCATTTTAAGGATAAAACTTCGGGATTATTGTTCAGAACTCTGAAAATTATTTTTGAGAATCCAACCCTGTTCCTGCTAAAAATTTTAATCTTCTACAAATTTTTATGTAGTTCAAATTAACGGTCTGTAATGGACGCCCGTCTAATATTCTCAAAATATTTAACCTGCCCAACCAACCCCCATAGTTTTTAAAAAATTTAACCCGCTTGTCCGCCGATAGGCTAAAACCTAGCCCAATGAAGACCTCTAGTTCAAATGAAATAAAAAATCGCTAAATACTTAGTGCCCTCTAACATAGAAAGAAAATCGAATATTCATTTTTGTTATAAAATTCATTTTTCTACGTTTTTTTTTCTCATTCCCAATTCAGCCCCAGCCCCTACTTTCCCCGGGTTGTTCCAGATAAATCGTAGTAGAATTGTCCAACTAAAATAAAAAATTTCACAAAAATATTTTGAAAGCAAAATTTATCACATCAAAAATATTATAAAAAAAATGTAAATTTTATTAATATCGATCAAAAAAATTTATGAAATAGCATAATAATTAAATTCAAAATGAACCTCCAATCAAAGTTCGAAAAACCAGAATAATCGCCATTTTAGCTCTAATGCTTGTGGTTATATGGAAGGTTCAACTAAAACTTCATTTTTTGCTATGACATTATACCATCAAAATTTTCTAAGATACTAAATATAACCTTTATAAAGTGAAAAATTGTCTACAATGAAATTTTCTTATCGCACAAGTATACTAATGGAATAATTCTTTTTTGAGCAATAAGTTTGAACATGAATTTTTCAAACAGTCTCAAATTTCGTTGGGAGTCGTAACACCTTTTTATTCTCTATTCTGGGAACTGTCAGCTTAAGAATTTTTTGGAATGTGTATATTGATACCAAAAAAAAATAGTTACACGTATAATCGGCAATATTTTACCAATTATTCCAAAGGGATCCCCATCTGTATAAGATTTAGGATTTTTTTGTTTATTCCAAAGGAGTTGACTTTTCATTAAAAAAAATATTTTTAAGCCCAAAGTAATATTGTCAATGATGTATTCTCTTCTTTCCTTTTCCCTTCTTTCTTTCTTTCTTTCTTTCGTTGATTTTATTGGAATACCATTATAAATCTTTATATGTAAAAATATTTGTTGTTATCGAGTAGTCTATGGTCTAGCCAGTAAGTGCATGTATCACTTAATCCACCAGTTCTAGGTAACGGTCTGCAATAGACAGGTTACCAGAAAGCCCAACCGCCTACCTATTGTTTCAAAAAAATATTTAAACCCGCAACCCTACCCGTGGTTTTTTTTTAAAAAATTCCCTCGCTCGCCCGTTCATTTATTTATTTATTTATTTCTTTCTTTCTTTCTTTCTTTCTTTCTTTCTTTCTTTCTTTCTTTCTTTCTTTCTTTCTTTCTTTCTTTCTTTCTTTCTTTCTTTCTTTCTTTCTTCTCTTCTCTTAAATTTAGTTTAACCCCGCCCGTTCCTATAATTTAGAAAAAATTATATTTTAATGTTATTTTTTAATTTTAAATTTATAAAAAATATGCAATATTGTTGAAAAAATTGAAAAAAAAATTTTTAATCGAAATTCTGATTAAGCCCCCATTTAGTACCAAAAATATTTCTAAGTTTACCCTCATTAAGGCCTTATCACATAATCATCCCCTCACAAAATTTTATGTTAAAATTTTAAACGAGTTACTAAAAAAAAATGCAGTGAAATAAATTGAGCTATTAAAGATAGTGTGGCGGTAATTTATCATTGGTCTACTTTCACAAGACTTGAACTATACCCATGAATGGGATAATTAGCCTATAAGCACACCTATTGCATCCTTTTTATATATTGGGGAAATTTATTATTGATTTTTAATCATTTGACAAAATAACTAATTTTCATTTCTTTTCTTTTTTTTTTTTAATTTTAAGGCCAATTGGTAATATTTTAAATCTATTTTGCATTCTCTTTTGTTCCTTGGGTAGGGTGCATTACCAACTGAGCACTGCGTTCATCTTCATCTTGGTAGATTATATATATATTAACAATGATATTGGATTGGGAAATTTGAATTCTTTTTAATGTTTCACCAGATCACACCAGATTTTTAAGATGAAACAAGAGTTTTTGCAAATTTACAGATTATTTATTACATATTAAACTCTTCTCTATTTTGGTAAAATTTTTTAGAAAAAATCTGTAACAATAATTCCGAGCGATACGAAGATCAGGAGACGTTCTAGTGTAGGAATCGCCACGGTTTATCGCGCATTGAGTTCTCTCAAATCTAAGCCAGAGAGCGAAACGGAAAAAACAGAAAGGTAACGTATAAATTTATCTCCAAAAAAACATATTTTTCTATAAATTTAGGAAAATTTTGGGAAATTTTTATTATGATTTTAAATAAAGTCTCTAAAATTAATTTTAAAAGATTACTGGAATTAGGTTATTTATAATGATAAAGCTAATGGTTTGTTGTGATTATTAGTTTTTTCTATGAGCAAAATCTTTAGGCTTGTGTGATATTTTAATTTTTTTTTCCTTTATTTTGATGATGGGTGTTATCAGAAAATTTTTGTATCTTATCCTATGAAAGTGTGAGTAACAGAGTTACATTTGTTTTGATGAGAGATGATATCAGAAATTTTTGTATCTTATCTTATAAGTGTTGTGTATAACAAAGTTACAAGTGAATCAGAAATTTTTCATTATCATTTCGATAAATACTTGTTAATTAAGTAATATGTTTCATAGCTTCAAATAAGAACGAATCTTCATTTTAAATATATTATTTTTTAATATATCGAATAGTAAGTTTTGCTAAACGGCTCGTTTGGAAGCAAATTTTTAAAAACTGCTAACTAGATATTTCATCCTAAAAAATATTACACAAGCCTGAAGAGATTTTGTTCAAAGAATAAAGGTCTAGACATTGTCTTTCTTTCTTTCTTTCTTTCTTTCTTTCTTTCTTTTCTTTCTTTCTTTCTTTCTTTCTTTCTAAGGAAGGAGGAAAGGAAGGAAGGACTTCCTTCCGAAATCTCGAGGCTTATGCCATATTTTTTTCTGGCTAAAAAATTGGGTTAGCCGTTTTTAAATATCGTCGCCGCAGAAAACGAGCCGTTTAACAACACTATCCAACAACTATAAAAAAATTGACTTATTATGTTTCATTTAGTTATAATGAAGGTTACTTTCGGAATTTTCCCTCTCATCAAAATATTTAAATTTGTAATTCACACCTCATAAGAATAAGAAAATTATTTGATTCACCCCCTAATATATCAGTTTAGAAGAAGAAAGAAGAAAGGTAGAAGAGAAGAAGAAGAAGAAGAAGAAGAAGAAGAAGAAGAAGAAGAAGAAGAAGAAGAAGAGAAGAGAAGAGAAGAAGAAGAAGAAGAAGAAGAAGAAGAAGAAGAAGAAGAAGAAGAAGAGAAGAAGAAGAAGAAGAAGAAGAAGAAGAAGAAGAAGAAGAAGAGAAGAAGAGAAGAGAAGAGAAGAAGAGAAGAAGAAGAAGAGAAGAAGAGAAGAGAGAAGAGAAGAAGAAGAGAAGAGAAGAAGAAGAAGAAAGAGAAGAAGAGAAGAGAAGAAGAAGAAGAAGAAGAAGAAGAGAAGAGAAGAAGAAGAAGAAGAAGAGAAGAAGAGAAGAGAGAAGAGAAGAAGAAGAAGAAGAAGAGAGAGAAGAAGAGAAGAGAAGAGAAGAAGAGAAAGAGAGAAAGAAGAGAAGAAGAAGAAGAAGAAGAAGAAGAAGAGAAGAGAAGAAGAGAAGAAGAAGAAGAAGAAGAAGAAGAGAGAAGAGAAGAAGAGAAGAGAAGAGAAGAGAAGAGAAGAGAAGAAGAGAAGAGAAGAAAGAGAAGAGAGAGAAGAGAAGAAGAGAAGAAGAGAGAAGAAGAAGAGAAGAAGAAGAAGAGAAGCAACACTTTCGCATTTGTAGCTTTATTTTATAAAAAAAAAAATATATATATACATATAATATAATAAAATTTTATTGATAACATAATAAGATATTTGAAAAACTGTGACAAAAAAAAAGCCAGAATTTTGAGAACTATACTTTTATATTTAGCCGTAGGAATTTCCTATTGTGCCCTAAATCAAATAGTTGTGGACTTTGAATTTATTTACTAATTCATAAAAGTATCATTAGTATATAACTTTTGTATAAAAAGATCATTTCGGTGTTTTATTTTTATGGTAATTTTTCCTATTATCATATATTTTATTTTTTTACATCATTCTTACTTTCTTAAGCTTTTTAACTAAATTGTAACAAGGCCCTTTATTATATAAGACATTTTCTTTTGTTAAAAAAAATGATTATATACTATATATGTTAGCGACAATGCGTTATTTATTCAAATTTCAATCATATTTTGAGCGCGTTTTTAAATCTGATTTTTTTCGGAAATGGATTTCATAATGTTTTGGAATACCTAACACTATGAAATTTCATACAATTTTTCCATAAACTGTTAGTTTTTTTTTCCATAGATTTTTTTACGTAAATTATAAACGATTCGAAATTTAACAGTAAAAATTATATACAATTAACTATAATATAGATTATTCTAGACATGGTGGAATCCATTTTAGGTAAAAAAAAAATTATATTTTTAAATTATAGGAAAACTCTTTTAAAAATTGATTTAAAGTTGAGAAAAATAACCACATTGGCGGAAAAAACACATAATCGCTTAACATATAACGCCCGGCTATAACTACAACTTAAATATCCTATCAATATATGAATTTTAATGGAACATTTAGCATCACGATATATGTGACTATTATTACATCGTCCTAACTTACCCCTCTCTACCTTACCCCCTACTCTCTTTCCTGTATTTATCATTATTCCCTATAAATATCCCATTTTTTTAATTTTTAAACGACGATTCGTCATATACATCTTATCCGTGATAAAAAAAAACATTCTTCTATATAAGTATATTCCGTGATAAAAAAAAAATTCTTCTATATAAGTATATATACTATGTCATAATGGTGAAATTTGGATAAATATACTTAAAAGTAACTGTCATGACTCTTCTTCCAAAAATACTTCGATACAAAATTCCAAATAAATATGAAAATTAAATTATCATTTAGGGTGAGCGATGTCGCGACCGAAAAAGAACCTAGAAGAAGATCCCGTTCCAAAGGTGAGTGAGTAACCAAAAAAAAATATCGATAAAATTAGGATAGCACGATAAACTCAACAAAGAAAAGACCTGAAGGCCCGCCCGGGTACAAGAACCGGGTCGAGCCTGAGATATAAAACCCGGGTCGAATCGGGCCGGGTCGAATAAATTTTCATTCGTTCATTTCATTTATTCATTCATTCGTTCATAATTTATTTTTAATTTTTTTGTAAAATATTTTGTTCGCCACAGAGGTTAAAAAATCCGAATCGCAAATAAATCGTTCCAGGAGGAAATCGAGTGTTAGGTAATTTATTAATTTTTTTTTCACGAATAAAACTTACATTTTATTTAAGGGCGGAACAAGACGCGGATAACACGTTGGCGGATTTTCCTCCCCGAGCGGAAATGCACTTTGACGCGCCGCTGATTAATATATTACCCACGGGACTGATAAGAGAAACCCAGTTATCTACTTTGTACCTCATGGGTAACTAAAAACTTAAAGTTGCTGCCCCATCTCAATTTTTATAGTTATTGAATTGATAGGTTTAATGATAGATACTGCCAAGTCAACGTATAACAATTTCCTAAATACCCACCGACCAAAAATTATCGAAGTATAATAAGAACCCTTATTATTTCAACATATATTATAACAGAATCACGTGGTCGAGTCCCGCCTCCTATATATATCACCCCCCCCCCCTCCCGACTGAACCACCATGTTGGATTAAGAAAAAAAACATGATCTTTTTGCCGGGATTCGAACCCAGAGCAATCGGATTACAGACGCTTTCGAAATTTCAAATATATACATAAATAAATTTGGTAGTACCTAGTGGAGTAAACAAAATACAGATTCGATATCCAACATGCAGTATCTATCATTAATCGTATTGATAAACTCGTTATTATATACGAAAATAAACGAGTAAATGGCATTAAAAGGGTTACTCTTTCACTTAATACACTACTTAGATCGAGAAAAATAATATCCGAAAGAAATAATAAAAAAAAATTTTACTTAGGGTCTAATAGAATCAGTTTGATGGAAGAAAAAGTCTTGGAACCAACGACCATTTGTTGGAAAATGTTCTACACCAGTGGATGGTCTCTCATTAAACCAATGCCGGAGGCAAAATACGATCACACCGTGTGTTCTATGTACGGCGAGGTTTACGTGATTGGAGGCAAAAATGCTGAGCATAAGTAAATACATGCTTAATGTTTTTATTGGATTATATGGGCCATAAAAAATAATGTTTCTTTTAAGGATTACTAATGTGGTATTGGCTTACACGATCGTGACAGATACTTGGAGACCAATACGTAGCTTAAATGAGGAGAAATACGCATGCGCGGCTGGGGAGTATCAAAGACAACTTTACGTCGTCGGTGGCATCAATTCGGCCAAAGGCGAGCTAAAAGTTTTAAGATCGGTAGAGGTATACGATCCTTTCGAAAAAACGTGAGTTAAAATCAATTTGTCGTTTATCAAATCTATGTTCACATTCTTTTAATACCATCACACTTAAATCAAATCAAATCATGTTTACTACACTCAATCTATTCTGACAAGATGACTGTTAAATCTATCACTTTTATAACATAATTCATCTTGATTTTAATCATAAAATTACACGTCACTCTAAAATACACAAATGAATATATATAATAAAAATGAACTTTATTTCTTTGAACAAAAAAAATCAAATCACGTGGAGGACAAAGCTTACTTTTTCACGTGATCATTTGTTACAATAATAATCCACTAACAAAAACTTACTTCAAAAGATCACTTTTGATTGACGTTACATATATAACATTATATATATATATATATAAAATATATAATAAAAAATACAAAACTACAACAATAACTATATTATTTTTAGTGGGTTTTTTTTTAAAAAATAGCATTTAACTTAACTAATTTCTTTAATATCTCGTTTTTTTAAAAAAAATATATATTTTACTCGGGGAAAAAAAAAATCAGTTGGAAAATGGCCAAGTCCTTAGAAAAACCATTGTGTCACGCTAATCTGATAGAAGTGAACGGCTATCTGTATTTGATCGGCGGAGCTTCCGGTACTCCTCCGTGGAGCTTTGTTCCTTCCAACGACATTTACCGCTACGATGTCGAGTACGATATCTGGACCAAATGCAATAAATTGAATATCCCTCGTTATAAATTTGGGGTTATGGCGATTGGTAATAAACCCTTCTTTTATTTTATTTTATACGCGCTTTCCCTTGTACCCGGGCGGGCCTTCAGGTCTTTTCTTTTGTCTAGTTTAATCATGTATAGATTGATACAACAACAACAACAACAAATTTTTTCAAAATCTGTTGACAAGAGGGGAAAAGTCTTGTCAATAAATTTTTTTTTTTTTAAAAAAAAAATTTAGATTCATTTATTCATTCAAAGATTTACATAAAACCTAATTAAAAATATTATAATTTATAAATTTATAATTATATAATTATATAAAATTCTATAATTGAGTCCCCAAAGAGGAACCATAATTGTGTCTAAAAATTTCTATTTGAATTTTTTGTCGAATAAAAAGGTATTCTCTTGGTTCATTTGTGAAAAGTCGTATTTTATTAGCTAGATTTTTTAAAAACAAAAATAATAGAATATTAGATATCAGTTTTGAGAGAATTAATATTATAGATGAAAGGTCTTTTATTCAAATATATTTTAAAAAAATTGATAAAATTAACTGGTAAATTTTATTATATAATCTCTCTTTTATACCCAAGATAAAAATCGATTATGTAATCATAATAAAGTTATCCAATTTTACAAAATATAATATATCAAACAAACCTTCATTATTTAAAATGAAAAAAAAATATATTAATACAAAACGAATATTATAGTTACTAACATGTATAACAAAATATCCAGATAAAAAATAATTTACGAGAATCTTGATAATTTATGTGACAACATAAGGATTAACTATATCCCTTTAACAGTCTATAAGAAAACTTAAATTTATTAAAGAATATTTTATTTTTCTTTCGAAATAAGAAATTTCTAGGTTATGGCACATTTTGGGCAAAGACATTGAAGATCTTAGAAGGTTAGTTTCATTTGAATTTGGGGTTTTTTTCTAATTCCAAATATTGCTTAGAAAATTCCTCGCGACCTTTGTAAATTTTATAGTAAATGATACGTGTTTTGAATAATTTATTTGCGGATTTATGAACTGTTTACAATGATGTTGATGTCATGGCCGCTTATTATCCATTCTACTGCTGCATTCAAATTGAATTGAGGAATTGGATAAGCAGAGGATCAAAATAGAGAATTAAACTGAAATTACACTTTAACACACTCTCCTATGATTTAGAAATATATTTTCTGGATTCAATCAAAATTTATCTCAGGAAGATAATATAGCTGACAATTTTTTTTTCCCAATTCACAATACCAAAATAAATATATTCGATAATAATAACTATTTTATCTAGCTCCTGCTGAGAGCTTGTTTAAGTATTTTCTAAGCAGGTTTTGCAGGCGAGAGATATGATTGCTCATCAGATTCTAATTTTAAAAAAAAATTCTATTTTCTTATTCTTCATTTTTCTTTGATTAAAAAAAATATATATACACCTACAAATATGATTATGATGTTTGTAAAACTTTATATCAGAGACCTGCTGTCCCGGCTCTAAGCCCGGCACGACACGTGACATATATCCCAGGGCCAGACCGAAAAATTATTGTTTTTTTAAAAACCCGGCCGGGCCGGGCCGGTCCGCGTAAATGGTATTTCTCGCGGGCGGGCCCCTTTTATTTTAATTTTGAAAAGGTAACAGGAAGCTAGCTTCTTTTTTTTTTAGGCAAAAATTAGATCGAAAAGTTGTTTTAGAAGCCATTTTTTTTTTAATTAAAAAATATTTGGATAATCCAAAATCTTTGATTATTTTTTTTTCTAATATTTTTGATGAGCACATTTCAAAATATTATTTTAGATGCCATCTATCCCAATGACATGTAATAATACCTAGACTGACGATGCCTTCATTAAAAAGTGCACATCAATCAAAAACAGCTGGGGACGCCATTTTGGTTACCCATATCATCGTTAAAAAATTTTAAACGAGAGGGCCAATTTATTCCTTATGTATGACGCACAAACTTTATTAAAGAATTGCCTGATCACCGAGATAAATAAGGGGGAAAGTTCTCAATTTAACAGGGGTTTTTAAAGTGATAATAATTGCTATATGGGTTACCAAAATGGCGGATCCAGCTGATTCAAATGCATTATTATAGATGCATCGTCAGTTTTAGATATCATTAAATGTCCATTGATCTATCTCTACTACGTCTACATAAAATTTAAAAAATATATATTATTTGAGACAAAAAAAAATAAAATTAATTATTATTATTATTATTTATTCAAAAAAACAAACAAAAAAGGTAAATACGTTTATATGATAAACGGGTTAGGTCCAGGCGATAAAAATTTAAATTCGATCGAACAGCTGGACACCGAAGCTTGGACCTTTGGGAAAGAGATCTTTTGCAAATCACCGCACGCTATCGAAACCATTATTTGCACCTCCCAAAGGTTTATATATATTTTTTATACCTATAAATAGCGTTGCCTTTTTTCTTGTGGGTAGCTACCATAATCTAATCTGGCGTGCTTGATTTTCCATCATATTTACACTCCATTAATATTAAATCCAAAACAAATCATAACACCTCTTTTAACTCCCCCCCCCCTCTTAACGGTGAAGTAATCATGATTATATTTTTGGGACTTTTGGAGCACTAATTCTCAAAACAAGTTCTCCAAAATAACTCCACTGAACCTTAAACATCTCTTCTATTAGTTTGTTAGAATGACATTGTTTAAAGTGATTTCATGTCCTTCAAAGAGAGAGATAGAGAAAAAGAAAAAAAAGGGTGTCATTTCCAAATCCGAGTAAATTTTAGGCTTTAATAAATAATTTTTAGTAATACCGGTGATGGACACCTGTAATTACGTCAAGTTACTTACTTGTCCAATTCAACTTTTTTTTAAAAAAAAATTAAATATGATTTGCGTTAAATTTGAATCTTCAAAAAAAAAAACATTATCTAGAGGGCAATTGAAAGCGGAAACGTGGGACATTCCGTGGCCAAATCTCAAGCTCGATTGGAATAAACTCCACTTGGACGACAAGATACTAGGACAGGGTCACTTTGGCGTCGTCAAAAAGGGGCATTACAAATGGGGGGATATCGATTTCCAGGTGGCTGTCAAAGTCTTAAAAGCCGCAGGCGGTAATTAGATTTTATCAAAAAATTCACCATTAGTGTTAGGGTTAGGGTTAAGGTTAGGGTATATAATAGCTGGTTTTATATCTTTTAAAAAAACTTCATAATAATGGTCAATTGTTTTTTATATCCAATTCCTGTATATATATACATACTAATTTTATAATTATTCATTTTAATTAACCTTTTAAATATATATATAAACGTTATATTATTGTATGGCAAATATATATAATTCAAATAACGTTGGGGATATTTTATAACCTTCTTAAAAAATACATAAAATATAAACAGCTGGGGTGATCCATTGGCCGAGCAGTCGGCCTTTATAGAGAGTGTGAAAGGAACTCAATATCATGTCACAGCTAGACACTCATGAAAACATAGTAAATACCGTTGGGGCGATAATCAATGAAGGTTAGTTAAACCCCGATTTTATTAAAAATGACTTTAAAAAAATGTCAAATTTTATCCAGGTCAATTGTATATTTGCATCGAATTTTGCACGAATGGCGACTTGAAGTCGTATCTAAATAAAGCTAAGAACTTTGACACGGAATGCTCGGTCTTACAGATGTACGGATTTGCCATGGGAATCGTTAAAGGCATGGCACATCTAGCTAAACACGGGGTAAATTATTCGCTATGCATAAATGATATTATTTTTTTTTTAAATAAAATCAAATATTGTGCGGAACTGTTGATAGCTTGATTGCTATATTGTAATCATTCATAGCGCAGATAGAAACACTAGAAAACGTGTGAGACCCTGAGAAGTGTTGTTAAACGGCTCAGCTAACTCAATATTTTAGCAAGAAAAATATTACCTAAGTCTCGAGATTTCGCTATTAGATGTTTAGATCTTCGGGCCATCTATGAGCAAAATCTTCAGGCTTGCGTGATGTTTATCTGGATAAAATATTGAGTTAGCCCTTCTTAAAGAGCGGCTCAAAATTGAGCTGTTTAACAACACTAGCCCTGAGCGGACCGAATGTAATTAATATGTTATATCTCTCTCCAAAATAAATGAAATCAATTTATAAATCTTTTACATTTGAAACATATATTTAAATCGGAGTTTGAAAAAAAAAATATTCAAAATATCTTTGATGAAGAACAGAAAGAGAAGAGAAGAGAAAGAGAGAAGAGAAGAAGAAGAGAAGAAGAGAAGAGAAGAGGAAGAAGAGAAGAAAGAGAAGAGAAGAAGAAGAAGAAGAGAAGAGAAGAAGAAAGAGAAAGAAGAAGAAGAAGAAAGAAAGAAAGAGAAAGAGAAGAGAAGAAGAAGAAGAAGAAGAGAAGAGAAAGAGAAGAAGAAGAAGAAGAAGAAGAAGAAGAAGAAGAGAAAGAGAAGAGAAGAGAAGAGAAGAAGAGAAGGGAGAAGAAAGAAGAAGGGAAAAAGAGAGAAGAGAAGAAGAGGAGGGGAGGGAGGAAGAGGAAGAAGAGAAGAAGGAGAAAGAAGAGAAAGAAAAGGAAGGAGAAAAATTTACTGACATTTTCAGAAATTTCCACAGAAGAGGTCTTTTCATATTGAAAGTCTCCTAGAGAAAGATTCTCGTTAATTTTTTTCCTCTATTTTTTAAAAAAAATTGATTATTTCTTACTTTTTTTATATTAGATTTTTCTTTTTAATAAATATTTAGTTTTTTTTATATATTTTTTTTATTTTAATTTTACGCGTATAATGACCAGAAGCCGCTAACAGAGTTAAACCCTTCTCGGTAGGTAGAGTTACAGTGTCAATTTCTATATGTATTTTGTCATCTGTTTTGTCATATAATATTCTTTAGTCTCTTTTCCGTATACATTTTCTAGTCACTTTAAGAACTTTAAATATTTTTATACTATACATCTCATTATATTATTTATCAAATATTTTTGATTTTTATAAATTATTGTATAAAAAAATGAAAAAGAAAATTAATTTAAATCAATACGACAAACTAAAAAAATTTTTTGAGTAGTTGGAACTATTGTGTACGCTATTAAATATAGATTTAAATGTAATGTTTATATATATTCAGATTATTCACAGAGATTTAGCAGCGAGGAACGTATTATTGGGCGACAATAATGTGCCAAAAGTCTGCGATTTTGGCTTAGCACGCGGAGAAGGTCTCTATGTTCGGAAAAAATACGTATTATAAAATTTATGCCTTTTTTTTTATTATTGTAAATGTATAACTTTCTCTTTAGGGAACCAAAAATCTTCCCATTAAATGGTTGGCCGCGGAATGCTTGACCCTTAATAGATACACCGAAAAATCGGATGTATGGGCTTTCGGTATTACTCTATACGAAATCGTAACCCTGGGAGAAACTCCCTATCCTGGTATGTCCAATATGGATGCTAAGAACAAAGTATTGGAGGGGCATAGGATGGCGAGGCCCTCTCGTTGCGACGAGAATTTGTGAGTAATATTTATTATCGGACTTTAAAAATACTCTTCAAAGTTTAAAAATCTTCAAAGATTTTAGATCTCGGGAAAAAATTTTTGAAAATTCTCAAAAAAGTTTTTGATCATATTTTTCCTAAAATTTCAGAAAATAATCTTCAATTTTTTGATATTCAAATAATTTTTTGTTTAAAATTTCGGGCAAAAAGAAAATTTTCAAAAAGATCTTTGAAGATTTTATTCTCTTTTTTTATTTTCAAAAACTCGAATATTTTAAAATTATAATTATCAAATCCAATCCAATCAATAATGACAGGTGTCACACGTCAAATAATTCAATAATTTTTCACAAAATTTACACTCTTTATAAAAGGCTCGGCCTCCTCGATTAAGCCCTCGTAAAATTTTAAAAAATGTTTTTATATACCTATTTAGTTTTAAAATATTCTCCTTTTAAAAAATAAAATATTCAAGATATTCAATCATGCAATGGTGCTGGCTCACAGACCCAGATGATAGGCCAAATTTTGAACAGCTGTCCGAAAGATTAGACTACATGTTAAAAGAAAAGATGGCAGCGGTAAAATAAAATTTAAATAAGAGTTTTTTAGAGTTTTGAATTTTTCCAATTTAAAATACAGGATTCTTTGAATATTAATAGCTCGGAGGTGAAAATCATGGCGAGGGAGGAGAGCTCTCAGAAAACTTTTGGCAAAAAAGTTGGAAGCACATTAAAACATCTGTTACATCTAGGAAAAAACACAGTTGACTAATTTTTCCTATTTTTTAACTTAACACATAATGATTTTTTTTTAGTTATATATTTATTAAATAATGCTTTTTGTAAAAGGTATTCGTTGTTTAAATGGTGTCAATTGATATTTTTTATATAAATTATACGAATTTATATATAACATAAATAAAATAAATTGACGTTTTAATTTATAAATGTTAGTAAAATAAAAGCGCAAATAATTAGTTCGATTAAAACATAGTGTATGGATGGGGGCTGTAACTAGAGGTCTGCAATAGGCAGGTTTTTTAGCCAAAAAGACCGTCCACTTGTTGTTTTAAAATTTATTTAACCTTTTCCACCGGCTCACCAATAATTTTTTTAAAAAAAAAATTACTCTCCCTACCGGCCAATTTATCTATTAATTTTGCTAAACCTTCCCCAACCGACTAATGTTAAAAATTATTTTAATGGTTTTAATGGCTGGGTTGGCTCTTTATTTATTTATTTATTTAAATGTATTTTTTAATTAAAAATATATAATATGCAATTTAATGAAAATAAAACTATTATTTTTAATAAAGTGAAGTCTGTTTTGCTCATTTCGCCTGAAAAATATCAAAAAATTTACAAGCCCACTTTTTCAACCAGTCCGCCACCCGTCCAATGTTGAAAATATTTTTTAAAAAAACCTGACCCTGCCCATTCATAGTATGGACACACGTGGGCGGGCGGGCGAAACCCCGCCGTAGACCTCTAGCTCTAACTGAGCTCAAGATATTCACTGAAGGTTAGGCATATTCATGCTTATCGATCAGTTATTAACAATCGATGGAAATTTTGAGTCACCTTCTGATATTGATAGAGATGGGAGTAGTTGTACGTGCGGTTTCGACTCTCTGCCATCTACCATGTCATTTTAATGAAGATTTTTATATCAAAATTTTTGAGTATTATTTTTAATAAAATGGATCTTATCAGCCAATATAAGATTCGCAATCACACTTTTAAATAGTTTAACTTTCAAAAGGGGGTATAACATTAAATTATTAATTATTTTTATATATCCCCTCTTTTTACACTCTAGCATCTTTTCCAATAAAAATTAAAAAAAATATATTTTTCAATTTTAATTGATATTTATGATAATTACTTTGAAACCTCTAAACTTTCGAGAAGTGAATTCAAAAAGCAAATTTTAGATTTATATTTATATTTCTTTAAAGCAGAGATCCGATGATCAGGACCCAAAATATAAATCGTAAAGAATTTGTACAAACGAAATATCCAGGCCTGACCATTAGAATGAAATGTTAACTTATAATATTTTTTCTTAATTATCACAGAAATAATTAAGGTTAAGGGATATTTTAGAGTTTAAGTAATAATTTTTTTTTCTTAAATTTTCCCCAAAAAAATGTTTGAAATAAGATCATAACGTTACACGTTATATGGTCGAATTATTTGATAATATTTTAAAAATTCTATTAAGTTTAGATTAATATTTTACAGACAATTTTTTTATTTTATTGATTTTCTCAAAATTTATTTAACATCATTGGAAATTTTATTATATTCTGTTTATTTAAATTGTTATATTGTATTAAAATAAAGTTTTTAGTCAATTATTAATTAATTTTTATCATTTTAAAATAATTCATTCAATCCTTTACCCAGCTTCTACATGACAGGATTTTCACTGGATGCAAACCCCCTTCAAAAACCTTTGCCTACCCCCTAAAAATCTCCGCCACCATCGGCGGCGGTCTCTTTATCATTATTTTCACCTATTTATTTATTGATACTCTTTTCAAAGAATTTATAAAGTATAACTTAAATCAATCTATCTCTACTACCAACTATCGATATTTTGTGAATATAAAGAATATATTTTTTAGATAATAAATTTAATTAAAACCTCCATTATTTACAACGAATTAATTATTATGGCATTATGAGCTTGCTGAAATATCTAAACCTTTTAAATTATATTTAAAAGGATAGTTTATTTGGAAAACAATGTGTATGATTGTTTGCAATATATAGATTTGGTCGATGAATTGTATTATAATAATACTATAATAAAAGTATTAATTTTTACAGCAATAAATTTTGTCCTATTTCATCTCAAAATTTAATAGATAACCCCCCAAAAATTTTTATCCTACCCCCATTAAAGCAGCTTACCCCTTACCCCTTCAAAAAAATAGGATGCAAATTGTTCCTACCCCTCCCGCTCATGTAGACGCTGCCTTTACCTAGCTTACTTAATCTTTAATAAACATAAAGCTATTCATTCAGTTCTTTACCATGAATTTTAAAAATTCCTAATAATATTAGGTAGTACCTTTTTTGAATAAAAGGAACGAAATTACTAACATCCCCGCTAAAGTTGACAAAATCTTTTTTCGGAGGGGGAGGGGGTAGATATAGTTTAAGTGAGGTTTGATTCCCCCTATTATGTAGATACTACTGGTGTTTACGACTGAGCAATATTATTAAATGCTATCCATCTTCAGTCATGGTTTCCTCATAGTAATTTAATGGTACCTCTTGTTTATTGTTATTCTGCCTTAGTTACACTACGAACTAAAATGGAGCTATTTTCCTGTGTATAATACTCGGACATTCTAGCATCGTCTTATGTCAGATATTGACACTGATTAATATTAGGCTAAATAAAAAATTATTATATTATAGAATTTTATATATTTTATCATCAAAGTTTCGAAATTTTAGCTCCATAATTTAATTGATTTAAAAATTCGATATTTTAATTCAATTGAATTTCGAGAATTAGTCCAAAAAACATGTGTGGGTTTTAAATTATTTTTACACGTATGTTCCTCTTTCCCCTGTGCCTTAATTAACATTAATAAACAATATTATTTTAGATAAATATTTATATGAAACCAAAACATCTGTACTTTGACTATCTTTTGTCTAGTCATCTCTATATCTTTGCCCTTATATTCGTTATAACGTTTCCCACGTTTATTTGCGATATTGTACCAAAAAATGTAGTATATGCTATAAATTGTGGCGGCGAAGCTCATGTAGATTTAGATGGTATTCAGTATATGAAGGATCCTAGCAAAGTTGGAATAGATTATATATCAAAAAAGCCAATTGATAGAGTAAATAAGCATGATGCCATTTTATACCAATCAGAAAGATATCATCATTCATCCTTTGGTTATGATATACCTATTAAAGAAGATGGAGATTATGTTCTTGTTCTAAAATTTAGTGAAATATATTTTACTAAACCATATCAGAAGGTTATAATTTAATAAGAATATTATTGGTATTTTCTTTTATTAAAGAAATTATATAAACTAGGCTATAAATTTTTTTATTTGTATTACTTAATTGATTAAAAAGTTGTTTTTTTAAATATGATGATCATGATTTACATGTTATGATATAAGCTTAGCATTAATAATATTTTTTATTACATTACAAATTCATATGCATTTATTTTACATGAGAAATTAAAAATCTGATTGATTAAATAATGATATCAATTTATTTAACATATCAAAGTGACATGGCCCTTTTATATAAATTTCCTTTGACTTCATTCCAAATAAGGAATAAAACATTAGATGATTTAACTTAGTGTTGATGTAAGTATTAAGAAATGTCAAATTATTGTTTATGCCATAAAATATAGTTAATTCATTATTGTAGTATTTATCAAATAAATAATTGCAGTTAAAAGACCATTCATTTGTTGAGCTTCTATAGGTAAGATATGTAAACATTATTAAAGAGTCAATGTCACTGTTTTGGACTAATCAGTTTTGACCAATAGGAAAATTATACAATATCTTTTTATAATTATTAAAACAAATATAAACAATGTTAAGCATTTACAACATCTATTGACATACACAAAATTAGTTCCTACTTTTTTTTAATGATATAAGTATATTACTAAATTTTTTTTGCATTAATAATATTAAATCTGAAAATGTAGGTTTGATCCATGATTAAATATTTAAATGTTAAGTTTGGGAATTACAAATTGTTAAATCATTTAAGATCACCAAGAATAGGCAATGCATTTACTGTCAATTTTTCTTATTCATTATGCCAACTATACGAGTCATTTCATGATAATTCAATCAAAGACTTGATTTTTGAACACCATACTTGAAATTAAATGAAAATGATATGGTTAAATAGGTTGTAAATTTTTCCCAAATCAAAATTTTGGATTATTTGAGCACTAATTGTAGAAGATAAACAGTTGAATCTAAATATAAAAAAAAACAAATGATTGATTGAATAATGAAGGATACAAAGATTGAAACAAAATAACAAAATTTATGTTTTCTTTTTATTCACCTCCATTAATTATAAAATAATAAATTATAAAAGATTATAATAAAAACTTATAAAAAAAAGAGAGAATATATTCCAAAAAATTTAAAAGTGAATTATATCCACAAAATCTCAAATATATATTTTTCCTTTAAAATTTACATCTTCTCAAAATATCCTCATTTACATAGTCCCTATAACATGATATGAAATTAAGTAATATCGTAATAATTCTTCTAATTTGAATAAGACATATTTTGGTTTAAAATTATTCATCTATCACAACAAGTATAAGATATTAAAATTATTGAAGAAAAATGGATATCGAGGTAATAAGTCCATGAGACAGATTCAGATGAGAATATGAATTTATGCGGAAGTTACGCAAGAAGAAAATGCAATTTTCGAAACCTTTTAATAAGTTTTCCATTTCCAAAATTTCAAAATATATATGAAAAATCAAATGGTTAAAAGGTAATTTCAATGTACATTCTTCGATAATTAATAAAATTTTAAATGTTGATTTTAAGGTAGCTAATAGCGTGCTACTTGGTCCATTCCTCTTTTTATAATTTGCTCTTTTTACCCCCCACTATTTAAATTATCTAGATTTTTAACATATTACTGAATGACGAAAACGTGGTATCTGGGCTTGATATTTATGACCGGGCTGGCTTCTGTATAGCTCACGATGAGATAGTTCCCTTCACCATATCGCGCAACAAACTTCTAGTCAACGACAAACAAATCGATATCGATGGCTCTATCACTCTAACATTGGAGAAGGTAAATCATTATTTTTTTTATGTGGAATTCTTGGCTAACAATAATCCAGGATACCCTTTATAATATCGACCAGAAATGCACGGATATTTCCATTTTTTTGCTGATACCGACTTTCTTTCTTTCAGGGTCGATAATTTTTCTAGTTGCTAAAATTTGAGCTATGCAATAGTCTTCTGAAACTTGGATTTCTCTACTTTTCTCTAACTAACTATAAATCGGCAAACGGTTTTTAAAAATATAAGAAGAAGTGGATAAATTAACCATCTATAACCTTCTTCCTTGGGATCTAATTAGGCAATAAGTAGAAATTTTTTTTAAAGTCATCATTTTAAAAAATGATATATATATTTCACCCGATATTTTTTATACTAACTAACATTCACTCAAAATTCTTGACATATTGAAATGATGCTGCCACGTATATATAATTTACAAGAATTTTTCGGTTAAATTTTCATTTCATCAATTTGTTCTATCTACCGAAACCCACTGTTTGAACGTAACAAGAGCTATTTATTTTTTTATTTTGTTGCCACATATATATTTAATTTTTAAAATGATTTACAATGAATTGTTCCGATTTATTTAAATTTTCATTTCGTCAATTTGTTCTATCTACCGAAACCCACTGTTTAAACGTAACAAGAGCTATTTATTTTTTTTTATTTATATTCTCCCGAAAGTTAATAATCGCGATTAAAATTTTCGCGATGTTCACGCGGCGAACGTTAGCGTTTTTTTTTAAACGGCCCCCATTTTAGCCGATTTTTTTTTTAAGAATGGGCTAAATCAAAATTTTAAGTCTAGATATTATTAACACCCGAGCCTCATTTGGCTAAGAGAAGTTCCAGAACTTTCTTCCATCTGTTGGAGCAAGATCATATAAGCTTTGAGTAATTTACTTTTGGCAAAAATCTTGAGTTTTCACTGTTTTTAAAAGTTGGTTAAATCGAGCCTTTTAACAAGAACCAGCTGAGAATGTGACTCCTTAGACATTTTGAAAATCATTTTCTTGTTGTTGATAATATAACAAAATAAATTGTATTTTAGTTTGCATTAATTTATTAATAAAAAAAAAAATTATATAACAAATCATAAAATAACGCAAAAATATTTTTTTTAAAGTATCGGATCATTTTTTTTTAAATACCGTTCCGATCGGATACTTTTTGGAAAAAGCTAAATTTCGGTGCCGATTCGATTGGCACAGCCCTAGATATATATATATCTCTTAATTATCATAAAAATTTGTTACATTCATCTTGTAACCTACTCAAATCAATAAATATGGTTTCCTAGAAACAGGCCATTTCGCAATTATACCAAGACTTCGTGTCACTAATTTTAAAATCAGCTTAAAGAAGGCGAAATGAAAATATTTTAAATTTTGTTTTTTATTGCAAACAGCAAATACTCCCCCCCCCATCCCCTCATTAACAAAATGATATTTCTTACATTTTTTTTTTAATATTCATAAACGTTTTTTTTTTATTTTGACAATCTCAGCACAAAAATATCGAAAAAAAAAATAATATTTATTTTACAAAATTTTTTGATTATTTCCTCTTATAAAAATAATTTTTGCCTAACAATAATCAATCAGTCTACCCTATTAGAAAGTTTTCCCTCCTTTTAGCTCTCTGATTTTGGGTAACCGAAATCATATGGTAACGTAAACTTTCTTGAAGTAAATGCTTTCCCCTTAAAGAAGAGAAGAGAAGAGAAGAGAAGAGAAGAGAAGAGAAGAGAAGAGAAGAGAAGTTGCGTCCTCTGAGAAGGTGATTTAATACAGTAATAAAAATATCCGAATAATATCTAGTATTAACTTTTCGTTACGATAAATCCGGTTTCTTGATAAAACTATTTGAGTCAAATTAAATTTGATCCTTTATAAATAAGGTATCGACATAAAATATCTCTCCTTGAACAATCGCTTAAATTATTTCGCGTCCTCCAGATAAAGCTCTTTGGCGAGTCGGGGTTTTCGGAACCTGGCTTAGGATATCAAAAATAACATTTCGAAACGGGTTCGGTCAGAAGAGTATTTCGAATTTGTAGGGCGCTTCTGAGAATGATCATAAATTATTTAGAGTTAAATGCATTCCTAGCGGCGCAAAAAAAAAGATGGTCTAAATTTTTATCGCTTATTCGCGCGATTCAAATCACTCTTAAAACACTCCAGTGCTCACGTGACAAAATGTATGTACTCTATATGGTGTAAGGGGTGGGGGCTGTCTCCTGATTTGAAAATTACTTTATTTTCGTTTATTTTCTGAATCGAATCTTTGTTTGCGAGAGGTTTGACAGCACTCACGTCCCTCAGTTGGCTTATGATTTTATGTAGAAGCTACCGAAGATTCGAGATTATAATTTATGATGAATGGTCATCTTCAAATATTATTATAATTTAACGACACGCGAGACCCCGTAGATCCACAGGGAACTTAAATGTTAAACGAAACATAATACGGACCGACACAATCGAGTAGAGAAGGTGGTGTTGTTAATTTGCTTACTCGTAAAATTGACGATCCAATTTTGTGCTCAGATCTGCTCTGAACACGAACTCCGGGGTCCAGACACTCGGGTTTAGACCCGGGGTACATGCTCATGGTTTAGTCGATTTATAGACCGAAATTTCTGGTCTGGATTTCAACGCAACCAACCAATTAACAACACTAAGAGAGGGGATTAGAGTTATAATATATATATACAAATAATATTATTTATTTACAGACCAAATACGATAATCCGAAACTCAACGCTTTTTACGTGATGAAAGGAAAACCCGAAGGTAATAAAACGAATGTCGCCTTGATGACCGATTAATTATATTTAAAAACCATATGGGAAGAATATATATATATATATACCTAATTATAATATTATTAAGACATTCCACCTTTACCGCCCATTTCGGAAGGCTCTTTGCGGGAAGACGAAGAGGAAGCGGAAGAACGGGAAGCGGACGATGATCGAGACGAAGTTGATGATGATGACGACGACGACGAAGAAAACTTGGACGTTTCTCATATTACCAATCTACACAAGAAGGAGGATAGGGCCAGGAAGGAAATCATAGAAAGGGAAAAGAATCGTAAACTGGATTTGCTGAAAAGATCTTCTAAAGGGAATTCGCAGAAAGAGGATGAAAGCTTTAGCCAAAACGAACCAGTTGTTATGTAATTTAATAAAATATACTTCTTTTTTCCCCCCTTCTGACATGTGCCTGTTTTAATCGTTTTCTATTAGAATAGTTAGAAACGGAAACTCTGCAGAGACCTTAGCTGGAGTTATAGAAAAATTCTTATAATATATGATGTTGGTTAAGTCATTTTTCAGTTTCAAAATCCTTCCGTTTTTTTAGACATAATAAAATAAAATGCTTGGAATTTTCTAAACTTAATCTTTATCGACCCTCCAGGCCAATGCGCATGACTAATTAGATCATCCAAATAAAACAAAACAACAAAAATTAGCCAAAAAATGGAAATCAAATTTCCCTTTAATTTCAATAAAGATCTTCCGTAAATAGCCCCACCTTCCCCTCGTTTTTTTAAAAGGGATGGAAGCCTTTCCCTGAATTTTAATCGAAAATGCTAGATGTTATATCATTCAATATTAAACCTAAGTAGATTCGATAGAAACCATATTTAAGGGACTTTTTAGACCTAAAATACTTGGAGAATGAACAGCAACCTGCAGTAAACCGAACTTCCATATCAAATCCCTAGTGCTATATTACTTATGATGGGAATCTTTTATTATTTTAATGGTCGACTAAGATATCAAGTCTCATTTAACGAAAATATTGTAGACTTTTGGAACACATATTACTTTTACCTTCTATTTTTACTAGTGAAATATTCAAACCTTGTTACAAGATCCATTAAAAATTTGCAAAGTTTTAAAACTTTGGCAAATATTAATGATATCTTATTTATTTATCTTAATAAAAGTAAAATATAATTATAAAACTATTGACAAAATCTGTTATCACACAGTTATATAAAATGAAAAATATGTAATTGGTATAATTAGTGTACGATTACGAAAAAAAAATCATGATAACAAAAGGACAATGAGGCATAGATCATAAAATAATGTGAAATACAAAATAAATAAAAGCGAAAGCAGCACAATCATTCAAAACCTCCTTACCTAATAATCATCAGGAGAGATCTAATTAATAAAACAAACATAATTAGCCTTAAGAATGGCTATTGCGATCCTCTGCCTTAAGTAAAAACCTTCGCGAGGCTCCCCAGATTTTTTTCTGATTAGGCGGCCAACGTCTTTAAAAAAGTTTAAGGTGGAGCAAATGATGGGTATGAATATGTAATTTGAGGAATCAACGCTGTATTTGCTGATCTAAAAATTTTGAGCTCTGTTCCTAGCGTCCTTGTTAAAATTAGAGGGGGGGTTAGTGTCCGGACAAGAGAAATCCCATATTAGAAACTTTTCTTGAGATGACCCCATCAGTACGCCTACTATCGGAAAATAAGCCAGAAGGCTCCATTGAGGTAGGAACCAGCTGACCTAAGTGCAAGAGAAAGTGTGTGAACACCATTAATGTCCGAATTGTTAATTTTGTTATCGATTAGCTTCACCTTGAAATTTAAATCGTATTGTTTTTTGTTGCAGGTATGAGTTATGATATTATGTGGTTCATAATTAGCATTAGAAGATGCTAGTTTAATATTCCTAGTGAAAGAATTACCATTCGCTGCAGGAATTTGGAAAGATTTGTGACCAAATAAAAGGAAGGCTGACCACACATCCTTAGAAGAGAAGTTCTTTAATAGCCTATCAATGCATTGGGCATAATTGGAAGAAACCACTTGTCTGACACCTCTTGGAATTCCGGAGATCAAACGAGATTTGGGAAGGCCAAGGAATTGGTCAATGAAGGAATTAGTGATTTGAATGTCAGGATTAGATTCGAGAATGTTTGAAGTTGATATCATCACAACTTTATTCCGATATGGGAAAATTATTTATTTCAGGATTATAGTTCCAATATATTTATAAACATTTAAGTTTATGTTTCTGTATATCTATAAATTCAAAATCAGATGATAATTATTAAAATTTTGGAATATATGAATACATATTAGCGTTATTTAATTACAAGAGATTTGATTAAATTTTAAAATAATCAAACTCCATCACAAATTACAATAGTATTATGTCTATAATGTAAAATTGTATGCTGCTAATTTTTAAAGTTTAACACATAAAATTTACACTGATAAATTCCTGCTTTCAAGGCAGGTGATGTACAATAGTAATAAATCAGGACAGATTAAATAAATGATATCTTCTAATTTGAAAGTTTGAATACATGAAATTATATTGATAAATCCCTGCTTTCATGGCAAATGGTGAACAAAAGCTTCTAATTTGAAAGTTTGAATACATAAAATTATATTGATAAATCCCTGCTTTCATGGCAAATGGTGAACATATGCTAATTTGAAAGATTGAATGTATATAATTATTATATTCTTAAATGCCTGCACAGGGATGCGAACCCGACAAAATTTTTGCCCGGGTTCGGTTCGGGTTCGGTTCGGGGTATAAAAAAAAAGGTGGGTTCGGTTCGGGTTCGGTTCAGGGAAATATTTTTGAACCCAGGTTTGGTTCGGGTTCGGTTCGGGTTCAAGAATTTTTGAGTTGATAAAAAAAATTCTATATTTAAATCATAATAAAAAACTAGACATAAATTTGATATAAAAAATAAATTTTTTATTTTATTTATAGGCAAATATAGTTAAAAATACAAAGCATATAGTCATGTATCAATTTTAAAAATTTTATTTAGACGTATTAGCATAATATCTTCCAAGAGTTGTTCACTCATCCTCGATCTATGTGGTGAAAGAATGAATTTCAAATGTGAAAAAGATCTTTCAACGCTAACCTATGTTAAATGTATTTAATGTGAAAATATGAAAAATTAACTTTGGGTTGCAGGAACAGCAAATAAGATTTTAGATAAAATATATAATTCAGGGTGTTCCAGCTTAGCAGACTCCCAAAAATGCAAAATATTTTCCTTCCTATCTAATCTTTTATAATCGCTAAATCCAGTAATTATTGTTCCAATACTTTTCTCAGCAATCTTTGGCCCTCTTTTAAGTATTTTCTCCTGCCTTTCTTTAAGTTGTATCAATTTCTCTAAATCATCTTCTTGTTCAATAACTTCATCGGAACTAATATCATCAGATAAAATCGGCGTTGTTAAGCTTTTAATTCGTCTCCATAAATTGACAAGATGTTTTTTCGCACAAATCTTATCATCATCACTAAGTAATACCTGTAATATTTAAGGATTTATATTGTTTATATTTAAATATTTCATAAAATAACAATTTTAATATAAATCTAAAATAATTAATTTACTAAGCTTTTAATTAACCTTGTATCTTGGGTCCAGGTATATGGCAGCTAAGAGAATTTCGTTCTTTATAAACCTTTCTTCTCTGTTCTTAAGACAAGAATATAGTAATTGAGCAAAATGGTTTGGATTTTTTTCCAGTTCGATGCAGCATCTTAACCATGCTGCATAAAAATCTGTCAGTGTTAACTGTTCAGATTGGAATTGTTTGGTTGCGATTTTTAGCGGTTTTAAAATTTCAACAATCGTTATTATCTCTTTCCAATCTTCAGTCAATAAATAACCAGATTGCTCTGTAAAAAAATCTTCTATATTGGGTTTTAGTAAAATCAGCCTTTCTAACATATCATGGGTTGACTGCCATCTGTGGCAATCTAACACAGGCTTAGGGAGTTTCATATTTTTTAATAACTTTTGGTAAGTGGGATGTCTTAATTTTACATTTAGGCTCCTAGCCTTTGCAATGGTTTCCACAATAGGTGATAATTTTATAGCATCTTGAAGTGCCAGCTGAAGTGTGTGAGCTGCACACCGTACACTATAAATCGGATAGGATATAATAGTTGATAAAAAAGTATTTTGTATATCATCAATATCATATTTATATACATTTACATCCATATTTTCCTCATCTGCTGATTCACTCCTTATATCATAATCAGTTTCAGGTTGCAGGAGCTTTATAGCTCTTAAAAAATTACAACCATTATCAGAAGTAATTCTGTATATTTGTTGAATATTAATTTTAAATTTTAGTAAAGTTTTTAATATATTCTCCTGTACATCTCTCTTTCAGCTTTACAATTCCAAGAGTCCTCAAATTTATAATGGACTTTGATATAAATTGAATATTTACACCAAGAATTGACCTATCTAGTCGTTGAACTGCATCAACTTTTAAACTTATTAATTTTCCTTCTACCTCTCTCGATATTTTGTCTCTAATTGATTGGGCTGTTTTATTAATAGTTCTGGATAAATTTTCTTTGTTTATAACTAAATTGAGCCCAGATAGGAGTGGATTTATAATTCTTTGAAATCCCGAATTTTCAATAATTGATAAAGGCCGGCCATTTACAGTAACAAGTTCTAGTATAGAACTCATCAAATCATTAGATGATATATTTATACTTATATGCTTTTTTGGAAAAAAGGTTTCTATATTAATTTTAGGTTTTTTTGTCAATAACAATTCCTGATATTTGGTTTTTTCATTTAAATAATGAAAATATTCATTGTTGTGATTTCTTTCCAGGTGTCTTTCTAAATTTGACAAGTGATTACCAGACATTTTTACTTTGCAATATGAACATATTGATTTTTTTTCTATTGTATTAAAGGTAAAATGCTTATCAAATATGACTTTATCTTTAATCTTAAATCTATAAAAAGAGAACAATTTTTTTAAATAGCAATGATTTCAGAATTAAAAAAGAGATATTTATAAATTTAATTTCATTTATAATATGCACTTCATTAATATCTTGTAAAAATTAAACTGAACCAAAAATAAATGATTAGCATATATAAATTTTAAAATCATTTTAATAAGTTCACAAAAACTGCCCTACATTTAACAATTTTTAGGTTAGATGTTTAGAATTTTTTTAAATTAACAATATAATAATTTTTACTTTGATTTGTTAACCATTTTCTTCTAATTAATAATCTTTAAGAATAATAAGATAAAAATTTAAAAATAAATGGCGTAAATTAATTCAATTGTTTAAAATTTTTTAACACTCCAATAGGAATCGAGTATAAATTTAAAAATGGCATAAATGAATTAAGTTGTTTAAAATTTATTAAGACTTCATTTAATTGGAAATTTGAAAATATAATATTTGTATTTACATATATTAATATATGATTTTAAATAATACACTGAACCCGATTGAACCCGGGTTCAAATAAAATTCTTGGGTTCGGTTCGGGGTTTTGAAAATTTTATAAATGGGGTTCAGGTTCGGTTCGGGTTCAGAGTTTTTTTCTAAAAACCCGGGTTCACTTCTCCGGGTTCGGGTTCGGTTCGAATCCCTGTGCCTGCATCCAAAAAGGATAAAATTGTAATACCCAAACAGTAGACACACATATTATGTTGGATAGAAGTATCTGTTCTCAATGCAGAAATTCTATTTCAATACTTGGAAATGGCCGTTTAAGGGCCCATAGTGTGAATGGACGAAGATGCCCTCTTTCTGGCTCTGTCCCTTCTACCCTTCTTCCAGCAATCCCTCACAGTTCCCTTTTAAATCCTTTGACACAGTTATCTATTCCATCTACATCAAATTGTGATGATATTACAACTTCAAACATTCTCGAATCTAATCCTGACATTCATATCACAAATTCCTTCATTGATCAATTCCTTGGCCTTCCCAAACCTCGTTTGATCTCCAGAATTCCAAGAGGTGCCGGACAAGTGGTTTCTTCCAATTATTCCCAATGCATTGATAGGCTATTAAAGAACTTCTCTTCTAACTAGGATTATGTTTTTATACTTAAAAGTGAATTTAATTTTTAGATATTTTGGACACAATCATAAGATTAACTTGAGCCATTAGCCCGTTCTGATTTTTTTTAAAGGTGTCCAATTTTTTGAATAAAAAAAAACCTCATTTAAATTTTCGCAAATATTTTGGACACATCCAAGTTTTATAAAAAAGTACAAAAAATAATATATCTTAATGATACTTACTAGCTTTTTCCATAAAAATTACCCAAACAAATAAATTTTTGTAAAATTACGATAAAATGATTTAGTTAGAACATTAAAAATAGCTTATGTTAATTTTTTTCTTCAAAATTTTTTTATATATTTTAATTTAAGGTTTTGGACACAGCCTAAAAAAAATTTATGGCCCAACATTGGGTTTTATATTTTTAAGTCCCCAGCCTGGATTTTTTAAAAATATTATTTTTAATTTTTTTATAGCTTATAATGGCGATTTAGCCCCCAGTTTTTAAAAAAATTAAAATACAGACCAGGCCCGCATAATTTTTATAACTTTTAAAATTTAAGCTAGTTTTGAAGGAAAGTCAAAAAAAATTAGTGCTCAAACAAAAGGAAGTTTTTTTTCAATGAAAATGAACAAAATTTTGCCAAAGTCTAAGTAAAGAAAATTTTGTCCAACCAAGTTCTGCCTTTATGAAAATGTTAAAACTAAGTTCACAAGTGCGCTGTCTGAAAAGGATCTGATTGGAACTCCCTCTTTCTTGTTTTAAAATGAAATTGAACATTTACCATCAAATTATCGAGCATTTTACTTAATTATATATTAAAAACTTAAATTTTTTATCTTCTAAATATACAGAAACCCTTACGATGAAGACAATTCGAGTTTAGTGCTTCCAGTGGTTATATGTGTCGCAGCTTTCGTGCCCATCCTATTTTTCTTGTGCAAAATTTAAAAAGCCCATAAATTAATCATTCCACACTCCCTCCTTTCGTCTAAAAAAATTACTAAATTTTCGGCCGATAAAACGCGCTAAAACAAAAACTAATCAGCTCCAAGTCGTAATTTTTTTTATAACTTATTTTTTTTATTTGTATTATTATATATATTAGCCTCAATGTGTTATATTTTCAATTTCAAATCATTTTTTTTAATTTTCTGATTTTATCGGAAATATATTCCATGATGTTTATGACAATTTTGCCATTAATCTTCGAGATAAATTTATACAAAAAATATATGGGAAAACAGAGAAAGTGTAAAAGAAGGGCAGTGAGGCTCTCGAGGGTTTGCAATTTAAGTTTAAGTCATCGCAAGATTGTCTGAAATTTAGAGGGTAGTAGGTTTTCCAAACATATTGGAATTACATTTCCGGTAAAAATGGGATTTTAAATTTTTTAAAAAAAGGCGCTCAAAAAATGATTTAATGTTTAAGAAAATAACACGTTGACCTTAACATATATTTAAAACGAGAACTATTTTAAAATATCAATTTATCGGTTATAGTAAAAAAATATTTGTACAATTAAATTTTTAGCATAATAATAGTTAATTTAAGCATCTTAATTTTTTTTGTTTATAACAAATTCGGGAAATTTTGGCATTTCTTTCAATACTTTTAGTATCCAATAAACAAATATTATTTATAAAATAATTTATATATTTATAAGCCCCTAGGCTTGATTTAATTAAAATCGTTTTTATTGTTATTTCAATAAAATATATAATAGGTAAGTGAAAAACTAAAAAAGGCAAATTTTTTTATAATATTTATTCATTATATACGAAATTAATTTCATTTTAACTAAAAGGGATATATTTTTTTGATTTTGTAAATATAAATATTGACACTAAAAAAATGACCTTATTGTAAAATCTATTATATGTATACGATACTTTATGTAATTGTTGTAAAATTAATTTTTATATTTGAAAAATAGTTATTATTACTACTATCGATATTTGTGCTTGGATAAATTTTTTTTATAAATAAAATTAAATTTTTTAATTTGTCGATTTCAAGTTTATTTAAAATAAGAAATTGAGGTAAAATTTTGATATTACATAGAAGAATATTGACTCATGTATAACTCAAAATCCGACTTAACACTTAATAGACACCTTCTTTTAGGTTCTGACATGTGGTTATCCAATAGGAGGAGACAATGTGCTTAAACACCAAACATCCAACAAATTATATTAGCAAAAGTATTTCTTATCCCAAGTTATCTCAAAAGTAACGCTACAATCTAATCCACTCAGTCGCATGTTCGTTTTTTGTAACTGTTATAAAATATTTTAGGCTTTAAAGTTACACAAAAAAAACTATGAATAAAATTTGCGCACAAAGCACCAATGCAATGGAACAGTTTTTTTATTATTAAAAGATAAGAGCTATATATTATGATGATTAAAACTTTTTTTTGGGAGGGGGGAATTAACAATTATAAAAATATCAGTAATTTTTAGATATTATAAGGTCTGAAATAATAATTATTTTATGATGAAAAATATAAATTATATTTAGATATAGGTTAGGTGTGTGTAATAAAAAAAATTTATTAATATAAATAAACTATGTAAAATGAAGATAATTAATTGTGTGCAACAATAAAATCTATTGTATTATTTTATATTTTTATTATAACTAAAATTAATTTTAACGCTTAAAAATAATATGAAAAACATTATTAGGTAGGATATACAATAATACAAATATATATATATTAATTATAAATCTGACATCAATTATTATATTAGATATAATTAATATTTAATATGTTATTTTTATGAATAACGTAAAACACTAAGATTAATAGTGAAAATAAATTCTTAATATAAAAATAAGTAAATAGGGCATTTATCAGATTATCTCAAAACAATTTTTTTTAAAAATTAAAGGATGAATGATGATTTAGTTGGTGTTAATTGGAACAGGTGGAATGATAAAATCCGTAGGGGCCATTTTTACAGCCGTTTCATAGTCGGGCAAGGAGGATGTCTAAAAAATATATAAATTTATAATAAAAATATTTGATCTATCTATAGTAATCTTTTCAAATATATATAATTGTCAGCTCGAGGCTGTTTCAGTTCGGAAATTTATAAAAAAGAAATTTAATAACAATTATAAACCCAAACCAGTTGGTGTTGAGTTCAGTTAGAATCTGAGAATTGGTCTGGGTTCATAAAATGCCTAATTGAACAATAAAATTTTTCTTACCTCAGGTTCTACTTTGATGTAATTGATGTTCATACCACTTTTCCTGCCACAAAGATACTTGTAACAGCTCCAAACCACGTGAATAAAATACATCTACAAAAAAAAACAATTTAAATGTTAATGTTCAAATTTTTAAAGCATATATAAATAGTTTAAATCAGGGCTGTGAACCCTTCCTTCCAAAAAAAAATGAGTTTGAGTTCAGTGAAAATCTCTGAACCCGGTTCAGGTTGAGGGTTCGGAGACCAAAAGAATAATGACTTATTAAAATAATTAACTTAACAGAGAATCATCATTTTTTTAAGATTATTTTATTTAGTATTGCAATAAAAATATTATATCATCGTAATTATAATAGATTCGTGATTTTTGTACTTCTCTTTGTCTCACTATCAATTTAATAATACACAAACAACAATATCCCAAAAAATAGATATTATATTATATTACCATCATTTATATATATAAAAAACTTTTAAAATCAGCTTTTGCTAGGTAAAATTTAAAAATTTTGACGAAAAATGGCTGGCTCTTAAATATAACAAAAATGATTCCACGAAAAAATGATCAAAAAGTGTTTTAAATAGGAAATCTTTCATAAATGAAAATCAAAAATTACATGTGTTTTTATGTTACATTATTTTAAATATATAATTTAAGGCTTAAATCATGATCCCTAAATTTTAAAAAAAGGATTCGGGTTTAGAGAAATATCTAGGGTTCAGGTTCTCATCCCTGGTTTAAATTGTTCTGTTCCACAACTATAAATGAAGCATAGAAATTTAACAATTAAAATAATAAAACATCTAAGTAAAAAGATGCAAACATATGCAAGCAATTATAAATCTATTTGTAAAAAAAAATGTACCTTAAATGTCACAATAGCTAGAAAGAGAATGAAGGTAGTGATGCTAAGATAGTTGGAATTCATCTTCATAAAATCATCTTGGAATGGTAGGTTTTTCTAAATAAATATAAAATACATAGATTTGCAATTGATAAATAAGGTAGCATTTTACTAAAATTTGGTGAATATGTACAAGTTAAGCATAGGTCCTAACAAGCTATTTTATTTTGTGGACTTTAAGTCAACTTGTTAGGACATAGACTAAAAAGTTGATTCACGCTTTGCAAAGCAATACTTTATCGATCAATACTGATAAAGTAAAATTTGGTTGGGTGCATAACAAATTAAGGTTCTGCATCAGAGCAATTTTGTATGTGGAACCCTTCCTGAAATAATTCTTAGGCAAGCCATGCCCATATCTTGCCAAATGAAGATTTATAACTATTTTAAATAAGCATATAATTCAAAAAATAGCAAGCCCATAATGTAAATTTGATATAATATTATTAATGTCGAATGAGGGCTGACTGGGGAAAAGTTAAAAATCTCTAATGTAATACAAGGCATTTTTTTTTCGTTTAAAAACATTTTATTGTAATTATAATTGATTTTAAAAGTATATGTGTATTCTGAAAATATGCTTAAAATAAATTTTCTTTATCAATACACTTGATATAACTCAAAAATCAACTACTTACCTTTAAATAATCTTAAACAATAAAAGACTTATATCAAATGAAAACACGTTCATATAAAGTGCTTTTTATAAGTTTTTTTTATACATTTACTCACAACATTTTTTGAGAAAATTAATTAAACATTTATTATTGATGTAAAATATAAGTAAATAAATAATATATTTTAAAATTTAACAAAAAAAAATTTATTTTTCTTATTGATTTTAATTTTTATCTAATAATTTAGCATTGAAAAAGGGATATAATAATAATTTATAAAAAAATAATTATTTATATAAATATAATTTCCCCATTTTTTTAAATGAGATTTATTTGAAATTTTGTCCATGATATAATGAATTTTAAAATGCAATTATGCTGAAATTTATAATTCATAATGCTGTAGAAAACTAAAATTAATGATATCTGATGGAACCTCAGAGAAAATAAATGGGCTAAAAATTTTTGACACCATATTATTAAATGTAATTGTTAATATTTTAGAGTAGGATTAATTAGATATTGTACGCAAAAAAGTAATCGTCTCGGTAATTAGTATTTAAATACTTTTTTTCAAATTTTTTTTAATATATAGATAAGAGGGGCTATATAACATTTCCATTTATCAAAACCATTACAATTGATTAATAGTTTTGAATAATGACCTGCATTTCAAGGCCCGGCAAGAATGGCCTTGAGGTCTGGCCTATTTTTCAAAAATAATTTTAGGTTAGGGCTGGATTGGGCCTAATCTTTCTTAAAAAAAAAATCGGACCAAGCTTAAATTTTTAAAATAAATCCAATGCAACCACTCAGAAGAACAAATATATCTTAGGGAGTAAATCTTGTTTAAGATCATGCCAGACAAATTAATTTAAGAAGTTGGGCCAGGTCAGGCTTTAAAAATTATAAAAGATGCATCTTGCAGGTTTTTGGCGGCATTCAAAGTGGAGATGGATCCGTTTTTTTACATCTGTTCCATCATAGGTCAATCTCATTAAAAATGATATATATATGTTCAAAGTGTGTCCGTTCCGATACCTTCCATCTTAAAAACGGATTGGGCAAATTTTGAAGTCAAAACATTTTACTTTTTGATCTTGCAAATTTTATAGAGCGTTATAACATTACTTATAATTTTTTAAAAATGAAAATCAATATATATCATTTTTAATGAGGTTGACTTTTGACAGAACGGATGTAAAAAACGGATCTGTCTTCACTTTGAATGCAGCCTTAATCAGTAAAAAAAGCCTTTTATTGTTAAAACATTCATATATAGTAGCATCAGGTTCTTATATATTATTAATGAAGATATTTTATGCAGAACAGTCATGTTAATTATTGAAGAAATTATAAGCAAAATGGTAAATTAGGTTTAAAAAAAAATCATTTTTGTTTTTAATTAATAACTAATTATTAAACAATAATGGGAAAGGATGTTTTCTATCCAGGATATTTATGACAGTGATTCAAGTTATTCCTAAACCTAACTCTAACATATTATATGATGTTGCATACAAATTTTTATCGTGAACATTGTTTAATTAAATAAAATCAAATAAATTTGACTTTATTATCTCTGCCACCTTTATATGGTAAATCTAGCAGTTGTAAAACTGCCAAGATGACAACAGAATCAAATTATCTCAAGATGAAGCTAGAAAGTATATTTATAAATTATCAGGATTGAGAGCCCTGCATGAGCTATGCAAAGCCTGCTATATCTCAGGAGAATCGAAAACTTTGTTTTCTTGGGCATGTGGGCCTGCCACCTTTATATGGTAAATCTAGGAGTTGTAAAACTGCCAAGATGACAACAGAATCAAATTATCTCAAGATGAAGCTAGAAAGTATATTTATCAATTATCAGGATTGAGAGCCCTGCATGAGCTATGCAAAGCCTGCTATATCTCAGGAGAATCGAAAACTTTGTTTTCTTGGGCATGTGGGCCTGCCACCTTTATATGGTAAATCTAGCAGTTGTAAAACTGCCAAGATGACAACAGAATCAAATTATCTCAAGATGAAGCTAGAAAGTATATTTATCAATTATCAGGATTGAGAGCCCTGCATGAGCTATGCAAAGCCTGCTATATCTCAGGAGAATCGAAAACTTTGTTTTCTTGGGCATGTGGGCTAAGAAACTGCCTAATCTGAAGGCTCAACTTGTGATGCTAAACACCTCAATTTGAGCTGATTTTTCAAAATGGCTAACTATATTTTCTCAAGATAAATATTGCCTGAGCCTAGAAATTTGGCTGATAGACATCCAAAAACCATGAAACTTGTGTAATATTTTCCTGAATAAAATAGTTGGCCATTTTTAAAAATCAAATCGAATCGAGCAGTTTAACAACCCTAGACTAAACATTATATCCGCAATAATCATTTTGCTTTATCAAAATTAATCAGAATCTCGTGTCATTTTTCCTCTAACGCACCTCACTGAATTTTAAGTAATTTCCATTTCCAAATTAACAATTTCCTGTGATTGCGAATTGTGATTGGTTATAACTCTATTAATTAAATATATCAAATTTTATCAATATCAAGGTTAGATAAATATTTTTTTTTCTATTTATAAAATTGTTTGAAGTATGGATTCAAATTTAAAAATAATTTCTGAAAAGATTAGACCTCAAGTATTTGAGACCAAATGAAAACCCTGAAGCACGGAAGAAATTACTACTTACATTTAATAAACAGGGTGAAAAATTTTAAAAATAGTCAGGCTCGGGTTGGACTGGGCCAAAAAATTTGTGTCCAAGTTCTGACACAAATTTTTCTTAATTTGGACAAAAACACAGGGCTCTAGCAACAATTTGTCCAACCTAAAAAGAATTATTAATTATTTTGCCATATGTATTAAGACAAGTGATGATAGAGATTTCAGAAAATAAAAGATTTGGATCTTCCCAAAACTTTTAAATTGATTTTAGCTGGAAAAATCCTTTGTTTATCAGCAATAAAAACATTTTTAATAGCTGCGTTCACTTCGAATAGATCTTTATTATGCTTTTTCAAATCTAAATAAATATTCTTTATATATGATAATTAAAATGAAATAAAATCGTTAAATTGATGTCTACAATTTGGTAATATCATTATAAAAAATACAAATTATTCAAAATCTGCATAATAAATTTTATTTCAAAATGTTGTTTCCAATAAATTAATATGTTTATCAAGGATATATTTAAAAACATCAAAGATGCCTTTTTAATATAGAAAAAAAATTATGGCCAAAACATTTTTAACTTTATTATTAAGATACTTTAACTTTTGAAATAAATTTAGATATATCAAGCCCCAGATCCATTTTTAAATCTATTCTGGTCAGATTGGATCTTTTCTTTACTAGTTACTATAGTTAGGTGATAGCTAAATATTGGTTGAATCTGCAGCTGCAAATCAGAGAAAATCTATTAACATTCAGGTGTTTTAATATGTTAGATTTTTTTTCAGGCCAAAATATTAGCTTTCAGAAAAATTGACTTATATGGTTAAAAATAAAGTAATTAACTATACTAGTTATTTTTATTTAATTAATATTGAAAAAAATTTAGTTCTAATTTTGACAGGGAGGTGACATTTTTGTTTTAATTTTGGATTTCTTGTTTTTTTAAAGTGTGAATTTTATATTTATTTTTTTTGCTATTAATACTTTATTCTCTTTTTGTTTTTTTAGGACCATGTCCAAAATCTATTTTTTTTTTAAATTTGCAAAGTTTTGAATTATTTTTTAAAAAAATGATTGGATTATTTCTTCTTTTTCGATAAAGTTTAAAAAGTTAGTGACTATAATTTTTCAATATCTTGGAGTGCATTGTTGTCTTATTTTTGCAATTGATTGCTTTAGTTTACTACATGCTGGCACAACTACTTTCCATTAGATAGAATGTAAATTTAAAATGGTTAATATTTATTTATTTTTTTTGGAAAAAAGCCTAATTAAGCATATTGGTAATTTCACTTATTAATTTTCATATTTACATTTAAATATTTTAAGCCAGAAAATCATCTAATATTTATTTAAAATTTTTGGTAATAGGATATTTATTGGTTCGGAAAAAATTAGTTAATGGCTGATCTAGGATATTGAAGGCAACAATCCAAACTAATATGGCCCTCAAATAAAATACAAAACCATGGTCCTAAATAAAAGACCCAAAGATACTTGAAGTATAATTATAGTTAAACCTAGAGATAAAGTTGAAAGTTTGGAAGTGATGGGCAAACGTAAAAGAGGAAGGCCAAAACTTCAATGGGGCCATAAAGTTAGAGCCAATATAAAGAAGTATAAAATAGATAAAAGAGATTGTATGAATAACATAAAGTGGAGAGAGATGTTGAAGGAGCTTACCACCAGAAAAGGTGAAAGCTAAAGAGAAAAAAAATAAATAAATAAAATAATTTTTATAATTGTCATTTTTTAAAAATATTTTGATTTTCCTAATTTAATTCTTGACTTTATCATTTTAATTAAATATATAAGAATTTTTTAAATATGATAAAAATAGTTTATTTAAAAATTTTGATAAACTTTTTTGCTTTCGTAGTTAGAATTGTAAAAAATAAAATGATAAAGAAAAAGAATCATAAAAAAACTAAAGTAGCCTAGAAAAGTGAATAATAAAACCTTACAAAAATTCAAATTATATATATGGAACTTAAAAATAATTAACAGACCAAACCAGTCCGAACTAAGGTCCTCAAAAATGGGAGGTCTGGTCTCACTCTAGGGCCAATAGAACAGGGGCAATAAATAAACTTCACTAACTAAAAAAAATGTGAAAAAATCAACGATTTAGAAGAATAAGAAATTATCTAATTTAATAACTGATATAAAATGGGAATATATATATAATATATGTATTATTCAAGAAGGAGGATATAAAAATATTAACAAGATATCATACTAAACTAATTTTTGGCCACAAATATGGCAGGTTTGTTAAAGAAAATATTTACATTTTTATAATTTTATTCTCATCTTTCCTTGCTTACAGATTCTTATTCTTACGACCCCAGTTGCAAAAGTTATTATAATATTAGAAAAAATATATCATTAATCTTATAATAGTCAATAAGATTATAAATGATTTCTAATACAATATTTATTACTAATTTTATTTTAATAGGTGTTATTGATATATATATAAAACTGCTGGGTGGAATTCTATAAAATGCTTTATTTGTATTTCAAAATAATAAAATCAAATAAAAAAATTTTTTATTATAATAACAATGGAAGTTACTACATAACAATGAGTCATTTCTAATGCAAATAATGATGGGCAAATTATTGTAAAATAATATTTTTTTAAAAAATAAAATATAAATTTAAGTTAATCATATAATACGTAAAGTTACTTAAATTGTAAAATTACTTTTTTCAAAAAATATATAAAATCAAGTTAATCAAATAACACTTACATTTACATCTGAATAAATATATTTTTTCATGTTAGGAGAATAAGTATAAAATCCTAAGAAGGTAAGCACAGTCAAGCACAGATCAAATATTTGAAGAGAGAAGAATGGAATTAAGTAACCAGGTTTCCCCTAATGAAAATTTAGAGTAATTTGTTTATATATATAAACAAATTTACAGCTAGGACGCCATGGATAAGCAACCAAGTCAGCAAGAATGCACAGAGTGTAACAATCAAACCAATATGGGCATCTTCTTCAGATTTTTATTTTTCAATTATTAGCAGAATGTCAAATTTTAATAATATTTAATTTATTTACCAATATTAAAATCGTGAATTTTGATAGAAAAAAGCTGTTCCCTAGATTTAGGTTGTTTCACTTGAAAAATATCATCTTTGTCATCATTGAAAAATGATGATAATGTGGCATCGGATTTAAAATTAACATCCAAAACGCTTGACAAGTCATTATGCTTAATTGTAGTGAATTTAGGATTAATCAACACCATGATGAAGCTTGCTAACACAATAAATTGTAAGATCTTAAAATAATTATTAATATAATATATTACAACGAAAACAAATTAAATAAATTACTTACCACATTCAAAAATCCCCATGCTAAGGTAGCAGATTTTACATGACAGCACAATGTTCTGTACTTGTTATCTCTACCAAAATTGTTTCTCATAATTTTGTAATTTATCTTTTTTTGGAGAATTGAAAGAAATAAAAATGGCGATTATTTACTTTTGTTTATGCAAAATTTAAGAGGCCAATAGATATATCAAGCCTTGAGGAAATATAGTAATTATGTATTTTTTTAAACATTAATAGGAATATTCAACATGTTATAATGATATATTTATTACACTATATATTATATTAATATATATAAAACGACAGATTCAAGTTTAATATAGGATTATTTAATTTTATTACAATTGATTTGTAATTTTCTATTTGGGTCTATCAACTTGAGTCGACTAGAGGACGAATAGTTATATCAACTTGAGTCGACTAGAAGACGAATAATTATATCAACTTGAGTCGACGGACGAATGTCGACGAGAGGACGAATAGTTCTATGAACTTAACTTGAGTCGTTGGTGGCGAATAGTTTTATGAACTTGAGTCGTCGACTAGTGGACGAATAGTTCTTTGAACTTGAGTTGTCGACTAGTGGAAGAATAGTTCTATGAGTGTGAGTTTGATTCGTCGATTAGTGGACGAATAGTTCTATGAACTTGAGTATACTAAATGACGAAGATTTTAAATTAGTTATTATTAATAAAACATTTGTTTTTTATTTTGAACTTCGTTATACAAAATATATTATACTTGATAGTGATCTGCATCGGGCCTTATTTATCAAGCCCATCGGCCCGAACCCGAAATTTTTTTTAAAAAAATTTACAGACCCGGCCCGGCCCGAATTATTTAAATATAGAAAGTCAGTTTTATAATAACTCAAAATAAAAGACATATAATATATGTCGTTTAGTTTCAATATATAAAATCAAATATTTTTATTTTACATAAAAAATTCAATATAAAATTGATACATTTAGATATATTTAAAAAAAATTCCATGATCCTTTTTTGAAAATCTTAGGCCTGGCCCGGCCCGAACCCGACTATTTTAAATAGAATTAGGGTTTCGGGCCGGGCTTGGGCCGGGCCTAATTTTGCAGATCTCTAATAGTTGAGTCGAGTAGACGAATATATGAACTTGAGTCGTCGACTAGCGGACGAATAGTTCTATGAACTTGAGTCGTTGATCAGAGGACGAAGATTTGAAATTAGTTATTATTAATTAATAAAACATTTGTTCTGTTTTTTTTTTACTTTAGACTTCCAACTTGAGTCGTGAACACGAGTTAAATACTTATGTCCACTAGAGAACGAAAAAATTATTGTGGGGAAGATCGTGATTTAAATTTAGTCTAGAATTTTTAATATATTTTTTCAAAGCTTTTATCAGAATTGTGAACAAACATTATAACAATTTAATATGATATAGCGAAGCGATACACTTTATACCAACAAGATGTTTATTATAAAAATCGCGAAGGGGGTGGGGGGTGTTAGTGCTTAAAACCTATTCATACTGTGATGTACATTGCCGACTTTATTTTAGACAAACCAGAACTATATTATGTCATGAAAAACATTGGTATTAATGTAGACCTTTTTTTTTATCGGGATAATTTTTTATCTCAAGAAAATAATTCATACCTGAAAATTTTTTTTCAATAATATATTTTAAATTTATTTTATGTTTCTTCGAAACACTCCCTTTTTCCTATTTTTAATAATATATTATTTGTTTTTATGGTACTTTAAAAATAAATAAGATTTGTATTTTTTATTTTATATTTTTATTTATTTATAATTAAAAAAAGTAACATATTTCATTGTTTTATTTATAAAAATTTAATTAATAAAAAATTTATTCGCGTAGATATTTTAGTTATTCAAATGTCTTATTTATGTGTGTGAGTGAATGATTATTCTATATTTAATCTCCTAAAAATTACGCGAGACATAATTTTTGATATTTGAGAATTTTCTAAGCTGAGGTAATTTTAAAATAAATTAAACTTTATAACTTTATATAAAAATTATTTATTCAAATAGAGAAATATAAATTAAAATGTTCTTGATCTATGATTTTAAATTGTAAAACCTCAGATAAAATCTAATAAAAAGAGGCCTATAATCTTATATTAAATAAATATTACTAAATATATTCAAAATAATATATAAATTACACAATATCTATTTATATTTTAAATATTTATTGATACTGATACAAATATCAAGATTTATAATAGAATCAATAAGATAAAAATGTGTACATATATACATAATGATTTCATATTGAAACATCCCAATTATTTAGGCACATACAATGTTTAAATGTTGTTGGTGACATCCTGTTTCGTTTCTTGGTCAAAAAATCAACGGCCTTGTACTTTTATTTGTTATAATACTTGTTGCCGACGCCTAAATATCTATTACACATTCGGCGATTTTTGTTGGGGCTTAATTCAAACATGCTCTTTGTATTAAAAGAAGTACTATCTATCGATGTATTAACTGATGAATCAGATATTACTGATATCTGACTCATATTGATGTCTTGATCTTGATCATCCAGAAGATCTTGGTTGTATGCAAGGTCATTCTAATCACATTTATAATTACAAAAAATTATTACATAATTCTACCTCCGAGTCAGGTTCATGTTATTTAGTAGAGGGTTGCTGTTATCTTCATCACTATATTGGTTCGACATTTTAGTATGAAAAGATGTTAAATCAAAAAAAATAGGAAAATGATTTTTTCAAATATGTTTTCATATAAAATAATTTTAAATATGATTGTGCAAAAAAAAAATTATTAATAAAATATAAGAAATAAATAATTAAAAATTATTAGTAACCCCCACACTTCAATAATAACCAATCCCTCTCCTTGTTTCTTTCTCCCAACATAAATCTATCTCTTTCAAAATAAATTTTGGGTTATTAAAAAAGTTATAAAAAAATATAAAAAAATTTTTATTTATAAATAAATTTTTGATATGTTCAAACGATTTATATTTTTTAATAAAAAAAGAATAATAAATAAATCATATGTTAAAATTGCACATATACAGTAACATAGGCGTAGCCAGGATTTTCCTAAGGGGGGGGGGAATTATAAAATTACTGGGGGCTTCGCCCCCAGACCCCCTTTGTAGCGGGCCTTCGGCCGGGTTACTTTAGTTTATATATAGTCATACAAGATAGGAGGTTAATTTTAATAAAAAAAAAATAAGCCTAGAACAAATATGATATTTTTATATATAAAATACAATAAATTACTTGTATATACCTTAATATAAAAGCATGGTAATAATTTATTCCAAACAAGTATAAGAAATTTATTTATAAATAAGTACGCATATAGTTGATATTCCTCTATTATATAGAATTAGTTACAAAATACTAGGTAAGATTCCACTTTACATACATATTATACAATTAGAGAATATATTACAGTTAGTATATTAAAAATTAATCTTTATATTATTTATTTCACAATGTCTTTAAAAGATATTTTCTGATGTCCTTATCAATATTTTATAGTTTTAAAATATATGATTCGCTAGATTGGTAAAAATTACTTGATTGTCATAAGATAATTGATAAAATTAGATATACTGTAAATCTAAGACATAAAATTTTACACTGTTTGATTGTCCTTTAATTTTTTAATTTAATTTATAAGTTAATTTTATCAATAGTTTTATAATTATATTTTACTTTTATTAAGATAAATAATTTAAAATTACTCCCTTTATAAAAAATTATATTTGATATATTATATTATTTAGTAATTATGGATCTATTATTAATAATTATAATACATTTCACTTTTGTCTTAAGACTTATCTTATATTCTATTTCTTAAAAAGCATTTTTGGTTCACTTATATATAAATCCTATTTTCCAAAAATGTATAAATTATAATGAATATTTTTATAAAAAAATATTAACTTTTACATTCTTTCTTCCAAATTATTGTTTAAGTTATATGCATACATTTTTGGGGGTCAGGGAGTGGGGGGAGGACTAAGGGGGATATTTTTTATTAGCTTAAAATGATATTCACAAAAAGTGATAAATTTCTGACCGAACCTGAACCCCGTTTATAAAATTTTTCAATGTACATTAATAATATGATTTGTTATTGTTGTAACACGTTTCCATAATGTGAAAAAAACTGTTAAATAAATTTCCATAATTATTTTAAAAACATTTTGATAAAATTTAAAAAAAAATATTTTTGATATATTTTTTTTAATAATAAGAGTTTTTGAACTTTAATGAAGATTAACGTCAAAGTTATGAATCGAGTACAATTTTTTTATGTTTTGGGCCGAGGTTTAAGTGGGAAAATGAGAATTTAAAAAAAATTATCAACTAGAGGTGGTGCAACACTAATATATATAACCTTAATAGCTTTCATGATTGGTTCTTATTTTATAGTTACAAAATGTTTCATTTCTAATACAACATCCTTGCCTTATAAATTACTCAAGGCTTCAATATATTTGCATAAATTCTTTTAAAGATTTTGTGTTTTTGTTTTATCAATTTATCTATCATAAATTTTAATATGGGTTCAGGGTTGCCAGGTCAAAATTTTCAAATTGCGGAAGAAATTTGGTATTTTGCGAGAGAAATATGAAAATTGCGGGAGAAATATGAAAATTGGGGTAGAAAGAAAAAATTTACTAAAAAAGGCCCGCAAAATCCCGGCCGGGCAGGGATTGACTTAATTATCCGTTTATTATTTTTTATAATTTTTCAAAATACAATAACATCTTGATTTATTAAAATATATTAATTTATAAAAAAGAATGTAAACAAGATAAAATTTTATAAAAAAACACGATTTTAATTTTACAATGTAAAAATATATTTTATACGAATGTCTCGCAAAACATCCGCAATTGGAAATGTACCTTGTGTGGGTGTAAAACATTATAGGAATAGACGCTTAGTTATCACGTATCATGTTTAAATATATAATAAGGTAATATTGTACTCATTTCAATGATGATTAATTAATTTATTATCACATTATTTAATCATTGCAGGAGAGTGTATCTACATCCATTGCAAAACAAAAATATTATCCAAAAATAAGAAATTATAAATGCAATTACGGTTGCAGCAATTGTAATCACTTATCTTGTAGTACAACATTCACAGAGCTACTTATCATTACAATGTTGATAGAATCTTTCCCAAGAATATTTAACGACTCCAAGATAAAAAAAAACTTCATTTGTAGAACAAAATGAGCAAGGAATCATCAATGTTTTAGAACCTGAATTCAAGAGGTCAATTCTTGACGATTTGAAAGATAGGCATACATATGCAATTCTATCAGATGCATCTAATAAGGGAAAAATTAAAATATTTCTTTTGATCCTTTGCTATTTCAACAAAAATAAGGACTTTTTAAGAAAACTATTAATTTTTTTCCCCCATTAGTAAAAAATACAAAGACTTAGCTAACCATATATAATGGTAAATATAGCAGATTCGGGATTATTAAAAAATCACATGTCAACTTTCTGATCTGATAATGCCTTAGTGAAATTGGGAAAAACTAGAGTGTATTTACAGAATTAAGTCAGCACAATGTTAGTTGCAATATGTTCCTAATACCCGCCACCTATAGAATTTTAAAATTTTATAAACCTTAAAATATATCTTAAATAAAGATTATAAAAGCTGTCCTAACATTTTGAAAATTTTTTTTAGTAATGAATGGCTGAGGTATATTTAGGAAAGATTTCACATGTAGGAAATCTACTACATACTGCGAATGTGCAGTTGCAATCAAAATAATCTTAACAAAGATTCACAAAATTATGCTGCTGATGTGTTAATCATTAGAGTTAAAAATTGATAATATATATTGAGGCGTCATTTATTAAAATGTTCAAATATTTTAAAAATACCGATAGACATTGATTTTTTGTTTGAGGATATTGTAAAGCTCTCTATTTTTGATTTACAATTTAAAAAATATATTTATTTTATGCAAATGTACAAATTAAAAAATATGGAAAATTAATTATAAAGTTAATTATATATTATTTGAGATTAAATAATGGAACTGCATTTACCGTCGTTATTGAGATATTTGTAAAATTCCTGGCAGAACATTGTTGTAAATATATATATATATTTTTTTGGAATTATTACAAGTCATTAAGCATATTTTTTTTTAATCAATATTATTTTATTATTTTTTTTGGCAATATTATTTTTCTTATTAATATTTATTTTTTTTAATTTTGTCATAATTTTTTGGGAGATATAAAAACCTGAAAAAGGTTAAAAAATATTATTATTATAATTATATTTTTTTTTATATATTGTTTTTTTGTAAAATCCTTCTTTCTTTTAAAAAAAAAATAAAGACGAGATATTAATCCTTGTTGTGAAATTAATTTAAAAAAAAGGTAAAAACAAAATAAAGACTTTGCGTTTTGAAATAATAAGAACTGCTAAGTTAAACGTTTCTGTGCATTGAAACTTTGTAATTGGCTAAGTGAAACGTTTCTGTGCATTGAAACTTTGAAATTGGTGCCGTGTTTATACAAAACAACCTGGTTAGTGCGGTTGTCGTAATATCATATAATGGTATTTGAGTCTACATCTACGGTAAAATATCATATAGTGGTATTTGAGTTTTCGAGTGAAAAATATCATATAGTGATATTTGAGTCTTGAAGTGAATTGTATCGTCTTCATCATCTACATCTAAGGTAAAATATCATATAGTAGTATTTGTGTCTTCGAGTGAAAAATATCATATAGTGGTATTTGAGTCTTCGAGTGAAAAATATCATATAGTGGTATTTGAGTCTTGAAGTGAATTGTAAATCGTCTTCATCATCTACATCTATGGTAAAATATCATATAGTGGTATTTGAGTCTTTGAGTGAAAAATATCATATAGTGGTATTTGAGTCTTGAAGTGAATTGTACATCGTCTTCATCATCGACATCAGCTGTCCATTTATTTTATTTATTTTTTTTTCTCTTCTCTCTCAAAATTAAAAAAAAAGTCTTATCGTACGGAAGTGCTGTCCGAATTTTACGAGTTGTAAATCTGTTACACAAAATTTGCCCAAATTTTTGTCGTATCTTTAGACTTATTAACTGTAGATGTACATGTGTATTATTGGGTTGTTTACACTATTAATAATATCATATCTATTAACATTGCAAATAACCAAAATTTTTATTTTGAAATTAATTATAAATTTTTAATAAGGTCGGAATGAAAAGTTTAAAATTTGTAAAATACTGGGAAATACAGTATAATATTTTTGGGGCATTGGTTATATTAGTAATATGGATGTGTAGCTTAATATGGGGAAGAAAGTTGAGAAGAAGTTCAAGTGTGAAAATAAAGGGGCAGACATTGACGATAGAAGGACATAATGGGGAAGAGGATGTTATGGGAAAGGTTACATGGTTCCCAGTGCAGGAGTTAATTAATGGGTGGATGGATAGCGAATTAGATAAATTAACCTATAGGCCTGAAAGGAGAGATTCATATACTAATCAGAGATTGGGGACATATAGGGGACCTTGAGAAAGTTCTCAGGGAAGGAGAGGAGAAATGAGACCCAACTTTGATTCTAGAGTAAGGGGGAGAATGAATTGTTATAATTGCGGAAGACAGGGACATATGGTCAGAGATTGCCAAGAAACGAAATGTTTTGAATGTGGAAAATATGGACATATAGCCACGTTTTGTCCAGGAAGACGTGATAAGCTGCGATGTGCAAGTTGTGGTCAATTTAGTAACAATAGGGAAGAATGCAATGTGGGTAATTTCAAAACTAGAGGCTGTTTTCCACAGAGGGACATGGGGCAAAGTGCTCCAAATGTTAGAATTATAGAAAGTGAAAAAAATAAAGAGGTAGAAATACCATTTTTGGCTGTGAATAAAGAGCAGAATAGAATCTGTTTCCGTTGCCAGAAGGAAGGACATGGGGCGAGAGATTGCGAGTATATGTGACTATATGATGGCAAAGAGCATGCCGCAAAGGTCGGGGGGCTTTGGGCGAAAGAGATAGAAAGATTAGATTATAGTGAGAAAGATTGGGTATCAAAGGGCATAAATATGATAAAAGAGGAGGATACATGATCCTTGCCCTAGAGTTTCGATAAATTTGAATGGAAATATGGTATCTATGTTATTTGATACCGGGGCAGCCATATCCGTGATGGGATATGAGAAATATCAGAGTATTTGGTCGGAAGGGATAATTAAACGGGAGGACATCAAGATCCGTCAGTTGGATGGATCAGAAGTCGCAGTGATGGGAAGGGTGGAGTTAAAGGTGGTATTAGAGAATAGAGTGGAGATTTTGGACTTATGGATAGTAGATCGAAAAGTAGAGTCAGTAGTGGGATGGGATTGGATCACCCGAATTGGTCCAGATTGTGGTTTTTGGGGGGTATTCGCATGGTGTGGTGTATTTTTACCTGTTGCAAGATGTGAAGAAAATAGAGATATGAATTTGTGGTATGGAGAAAGATTGCCAGGAATTGAAACCTTTTGGAAGGGGAAAGGAGAGGAGAGGATAATAAATTTGTGGTATGGAGAAAGATTGCCAGGTTTTTGGAAGGGGAAAGGAGAGGAGAGGATAATAGGGTTGTTAGAGACTGTAGGAGAGGTTTTGGGGGGAACTATAGGGGAGATATCGGGGGAATTATAGGGGAGGTTTTAGTGGGAACTATAGGGGAGATATCGGGGGAAATTATAGGGGAGGTTTTGGGGGGAACTATAAGGGAGATATCGGGGGGAATTTTAGGGGAGGTATTGGGGAGAATTATAGGGGAGGTATCGGGGGGAATTATAGGGGAGGTATCGGGGGGAATTATAGGGGAGGTATCGGGGGGAATTATAGGGGAGGTATTGGGGGGAATTATAGGGGAGGTATCGGGGGAATTATAGGGGAGGTATCGGGGGGAATTTTAGGAGTTGTCGCGACTTTGGGAGAAAGGAAGAAAGAAATGATACCGAAGAACAGAAAGAAATTCATGATCAAGGAAAGTTTGAAGCGGAGCTGGAGGAATTGGCAGATGGGAAAATAATGTTGCCAGAAGAAGAAACTAGAGAAGATGATGATTTGGAACAAGGAAATACTAAGGGAACACATAGCCAACAAATGAAAATGGATGGAAAGGAAACGAGACGACGGGAAGAGAGGGAATTGCGGAATAGAGAGATAGAATTGGGTATGTTCAAAGTACAAGAGGGAGTGCGAAAATTGATGAAAAATTAGAAGGAGATTTTTGATGAGAAGTTGGGTTGTCTCCGAGATTATGAAGTGGATATCAAATTAAAGGAGGGATATGTGCCCAAGTTTTGTGCATTACGTCGGATACCGTTCGAATGGCGAAATGAAGTAGACAAGGAATTGGAGCAGTGGGTGCAGAAGGGCAATGTTTGTCCAGTGGAATATAGCGAATGGGCAACACCGTTAGTACCCGTGAAGAAGGCCAATGGAAAGCTTAGTTTATGCGCTGATTTTCGGGTCACGCTAAACCCGTGGTTGTGGAGATAAAATATCCGTTACCTCGGATTGAAGAAATATTAGCTAATTTGAAGGGTAGCATATATTTTTCAAAGGTGGAATTTTCGAACGCTTACTTACAATTGAAGGTGAAACCCGAGGTACAAAAGCTATTAACGATCACGACTCCTAAGGGATTGTATGCCTTCTGTAGATTGCCGTTTGGACTTAGCGTGTCGGCTCCAATTTTTCAACGAACGATGGCGGCAGTTTTTCAAGGACTAGAGGGAGTATTTTACTACACGGATGACGTATTAGTGATGGGAAAGACTCCCGAGCAACACGAACGAAGATTGGAGGAGGTGTTCAAAAGGATCAAAGATAAAGGATTGCGGGCAAGCGTTGAAAAAAGTGTGCTGGGAGTTTCAGAAATCGTATATTTGGGGCATAAAATCAATGGGAAAGAGGTCAGACCTTTAGACAAAAATATGGCAAATATAACAAGCATGTGGAAGTACAAGCTTTCTTGGGAATGGTGAATTATTATCACCGTTTTATGGAAGGTTTCGCGCAGATAGCGGCGCCGTTGTATAAATTGTTAAAGAAAGGAGAAAGATTTGAATGGAAGATTGAACAGGAGGAGGCTTTTGAGGAGTTGAAATTGAGGATTGGAAGGGAACCAGTACTAGTGTGTTTTGATAACGATGTGCCAATGATATTGGCCGTTGGATATTCAGTGATCGAGCAAGAAGCGCTAGCGGTTATATTTGGATTGACTAAATCTCGGGAATACTTGATCGGACGTTGATTTGTCATATATACGGATCACAAGCCCTTGGTTCATCTTTTCAGGAAGGACAACAAGGAGCTCATGTTGTCGCCTAGGTTGCAGCGATGGCTATTGCTGGTAGGCAGTTTCGACGTCCAAGTGAAATACCGGCGAGGAAGAGAAAATTACTTACCGGATATTCTTTCTAGATGTGGAGCGGGAGAGGATTGCGAAACGAGTAGGTCGAAAGATATGGATGAAGAGGATGAGCACGGGTTGATTAGAGCGATAGTCGGAATATCTAAAGGAGGACCAGTTGCATGGGAACAACTCAAAAATGCTACTTTAAAAGATCGCGAGTTGACGAGAATCAAAGCGTGCATATTGGGTCGGAAGCAATGGCGAGATGGGGACAAAAAGTTCAAGCAAGTGGAGAAAGAGCTAACGATAGTGGACGAGTGTGTGGTACGAGGAAGTCGGGGAGTGGTGCCGTCCAGATTAAGGGAGGCAGTAAAGGCAATGATCCATGCTGGACATCAGGGTATGGAACGAATGAAACAATGGGGGCGGGAATACATATGGTGGCCTGGCATGAATAAAGAAATCGAGAATATGGTGAGAAGTTGTGAAATGTGTAATTCATGGGCAAGTATGCCTCGAAAGGACAAGAAAAGTATTTGGCCTAGGGCTACTCAACCATGGGAAAGAGTGCACTTAGACTTTTTCGACTTCGAAAATAAGATATATCTCCTCGTGGTGGACGCTTACTCAAAATGGGTTGAGTATCAAGAAGTAAAGGGGTTAACAACGCAAGTAGTAATTAAGACGTTAAAAGATCTTTGGGCAAAATTTGGGGTAGCGGAAATAGTCGTGTCGGATGGAGGACCCGCTTTCATAAGTAAACAATTTAAAGTGTTTTGTACTGAAACTGGGGCGAGACACAGTTTGGCGCCTCCTTACCACCCAAGCTCAAATGGGCAGGCGGAAAGGATGGTGGCGGTAGTGAAAGGTTGGTTGAGGAAGTCGAAATATGGGGATGGAGAGATTTAAATAGCGATTGCATATTATAACAATAGTCGAAAGGGAGAGGAATTGTCCCCAGCAGAAAAGTTTTGGGGCCGTAGAACTCGTATTCAGTTGGATTTCTTAAGTCCCAAACCGGCGCAGGAGGAGAATTCAATGGATAATCAGTGTGAATTTGTGGTTGGTCAGACCATATGGGCGAGAATTTTTGGAGGTACCCGAAAATGGGAGTCCGGAGTAATTATACAGAACGTGGGGCATAAAATGGTGAGAGTAAAATTCGTCGACGGAAAGGAAGGAGTTAGACATGCAGAACATATACGGAAGAGAGTAGAGTCTGAAAGGTTAAGGTCCAGCCATGACGCGGCGAGAAGAAAGGGGTAGATATCTGACCGGGATTAAATCAAATTTAATTTAAAAAAAAAAATCGATAATGATAATTAACACAAGATAGTAATACCTCCGCAATTACGGGATTAAATCACATTTAAAAAAAAAGGATCAATAATTATAATGATAACCGGTGGTAATAATGTTGGGAGCCAGGGATGATCGTAGAAAAAATTGGACATACATTAAGTCGAGTAAAATTAGGCATCGGGACCAACTAAAAAGGGGTCTGGAGCCAGGAAGATTACAATCAGGTGTTTGAGGCGGAATGATATAATATGGCATATTATATGAAATTAAAGAAATGTATTTGTCTATGTAATAATACCGTGAAATATCTATGTATATATATTATTATTTAACGATTTTTTTTAAAATATCATGATTAATATATCCGAAATTAATAATAGGAAATTCATATATAACATTGTTGAAATCCCATTTTGGGATAATATGTATCGTAAAGTAGCAGTATAATAATGTCCCAATCATATGAAGATTAATAAATACGATTGATATATTTTTTTTCTGTTTCCCTCGCGTAATGTCATTTTTTTTTAGTTTGTCGTGAAACGAGGAAAAATAGACGAAAGCAAATATAAAAAAAATTATTTCGTCGATTCATTATGATAATAAACATTTTTTTTGGTGTGTTATTTTTATATTATATGATTTTATTTTTCGCGTGAAATTAGGATTACAAGCGTGATTATGGAGTTTTCAAATTATAAAATAATAAATTTTTAGATTATAATTTTGTTTTGAAGGTTAGAGGCTTCCCTATAAAAGGGAAGCCAAAATCTTCAATTATTATTATGTTTTTTTTTGGTTTCTTTTAATTGTAAAATTATATTTTATTAATTTGGTTTGCAAAATAAATTAGTCTCTACATTATTCGTTTTAATATGAATTTAAATTAAGTTAAGCAGTACAAAGTTTAAAGTAGTATATTATTCGTTCTAATATTAATTCAAGCGGAACAAGTGGCACAACAGTTATCATGTTTTTTTTATGGGGGGCGTGTTGAAAATATATTTTTTTTTTTGCATTATTACAAGTCATTAAGCATATTATTTTTTTTAATCAATATTATTTTATTATTTTTTTTGGCAATATTATTTTTCTTATTAATATTTATTTTTAATTTTGTCATAATTTTTTGGGAGATATAAAAACCTGAAAAAGGTTAAAAAATATTATTATTATAATTATATTTTTTTTTATATATTGTTTTTTTTGTAAAATCCTTCTTTCTTTTAAAAAAAAAATAAAGACGAGATATTAATCCTTGTTGTGAAATTAATAAAAAAAAAA